AGGCCTCTGACCTCCCTGCGGCCCACAGGGGTGCACCTGCCCAACCTCAGCCAACTGAAGTTGAACGACAGCCGCCTGGGCTCCGTGAGGTGAGTGCCCTCCTGGGCCCACAGGGGTGGGGACGGGGTACACTACCACCCCTGGTGTGGTGAGGCCGGGCTGAGCTGCCCAGCACAGGGGCGGCCCGGGCCCTCCATTTTGCCTGCCCGAGACCAGGGGCCGCCACATGGAGGGAAGGCAGGGAGCCCTTCTGCAGCCTGGAGGCTGCCACGAGCCCACTCACACCTGCCGTGGACCCGGGGACAGCAGGTGTGGGTGTGGCTGGGCGTGAGGCATGGCCGCCACCCTAGGGCGGCACTGACCACCAGCCCCGCCCTCTGCAGAGACCTGGGCACCTCCCTGGGCCGCCTGCAGGTGCTGTGGCTGGCTCGCTGTGGCCTGACCGATCTGGATGGCATCGGCTCCTTCCCGGCCCTGAAGGTGGGTCTGCGGTGCCCTGGGCCGGGGCGGGCACCACGCCGGCCGGGGCTGAAGTTCCCGTGCCACCCCAGGAGCTGTATGTCTCCTACAACAACGTCTCGGACCTCAGCCCGCTCTGCCTGCTCGAGCAGCTGGAGGTGCTAGACCTAGAGGGCAACGACGTGGAGGACCTGGGGCAGGTGCGCTACCTGCAGCTGTGCCCGAGGCTGGCCGTGCTCACCTTGGAGGGCAACCTGGTGTGCCTGCGGCCAAGCCCCTCCGGCAAGGTGCGTGCGAGGGCGGGGAGGCGCTCTGCGGCTCAGGTCCTTAGCCCCTCCCATGGCCTGGGGCCACCTGCCCGCTGTGGCTCCTTCACTGTGAGCTAGAGGCCTGGCAGTGGCCAGTGCACCCTCCAGGCTGGACAAACCCCACAGGGCCACGTGCACAGGCCACGTGGAACCACGCGCACTCTGTAACTTTTCCACATAGAATTGTGTGTACACACTCACACACACACAGCCTGCAAGCCTCTGCACACACCCCTGCACTGTTGTGCACCCTGCAGCTCACAGCCCCTGCCCTGCCAGCTGCTATCTGCTCTGGCACCTGGGCCAGTGCTTTGAGCTCAGGGCAGCTCCACAGGCCAGAGGGCACCACTGGATCCTGGCCATGAACCTGGACAGTGAGAGCACCGGGGTGAGGAGCCAGGGTGCCCCAAGTCCCTGGTGCCCAAGAGTGACCCGGACACCAGCCCCAGCTCCCCTACCCCAACCATAGTGGGTCGGGGGCAAGTGGCCCCAGGACTTAGCTGGCCTGAAGGGCCCACGCCCCAGGCCTGCACCCCCTCTCTGCCCTGCAGGTGCCCCGGGGCTACAACTATAGGGCACAGGTGAGGAAGCTCATCCCCCAGCTGCAGGTCCTGGACGAGATGCCCGCCACGCAGACGGGCCTGCCCACCGCCCGGAAGCTGGACCAGGACTGGCTCCTGGTGAAGGAGGCCATCAAGGAGGGCAGTGTCCTGGACAGCCTGCTGCCCAAGCTGGGTAGGCAGCCCCCGCCCCACCCCGGCCTCGGCAAGGGCTGCCCAAGGAGAGGCCCCCACCCGTGCCTCCCTGAAGACAAAAGCTCTCTACCGCCAGCCCCCCACGTTCCCAGGCCTCTTAGAGATGGGCCGCCTCATGGGCTATCTCTTCTCAGCCTTAACCATGCATCCCAGAGCCCTGCACACCTGCCTCCAGGCCAGGACACCTCCCTGTGGGCAGCGCCTGGCTGGGGCCCCCATACCCATCAGAAGAGGAAGAGGAGGTCCATAACCTGGGCCCCGGGACACGCAGATGTTGGGTGGTGGGGTCCCTGGTCTGTGGACAGAGCCTGGGGGGCTCTTGAGCTGGCCAGCGGGTGGGGTCCTTGGTGACCTCTGATTTTGACCTTCGGGCAGATCATCCCCACGGAGACCCCATTCGAAGATTCGGCCCTGAGCTATCCCGGCCTGAGCTCCAGCCCCGGGTCGCCAGGCCTTGGCCCCTCACCCTGCTGGCCCCTGGGGGACCCCTGCCCGAAACTCGGCTTCCCAAGGACACAGCCCTAGAGGATGACACCAGCAACCTCACCCACGGTAATGGGACCCCCCACCCGCAGGAAATTGACCCTGCAGCCCCTCAACCCTAACCAGGCCCAGCCACGCCTTCTTCCTCAGGCTCCGGCCACGTCCTCTGCGGGAACCCCACCAAGGGCCTTCGGGAACGTCAGCACCACTGCCAGGTATGCCCTGCTCCCAGGAGCCGGGACCCAGCCACGCCCAGGGCACCAGTGTCCTGGGTTTTGCTCCCCAGAACGGACTGGCGTCCTGGGCCCTCCTCCAGAGTGGACAGCATCCTGGCCGGCCAGTGCCCTGAGCTATAGCCACTGGGGGCCCAGGCCCCGGCTCTCCCATGCCCTCTGCAGCCGAATAAGTCTTTCTCCCCCGAGCCTGCTGCCCGCCCAGTTCCCTCCATGCCCCCAAACCAGCCCTTTCCCTTCTCAGACCTGGCTGCCCCCAGAGCAGCTGCCCCCACACAGGCCTGAAGACCTGGCCACCAGGGCCTCCGCTCCAGGGCCTGGAGACAGCCGGGACCTCCTGGCATTGGCTGGACTTCGGGCGTGGAGAGAATTGCATCTGCGGTGGGTGCTGGTCCCCGCACGGAGCCCCGCCATGGGTGTCCTGTCCGGTGGGGGGTCCCGGCTGGGGCTGCGTGGCTGAGCAGTCACTGGTCCCCAGGACGGCCGGAGGAGCTGGTCATGGGAGCCTGAGGCTGGGTGCCGTCCCACTCACACTCATTGGGGATCGGCTCCAAGGCGGGGCGGGGCTGCAGCCCCTGCCCCTGCCCCACCCCAGCCTCTCCCCTGCAGGCGCCTGGCTTCTGGGCAGGCAGGGGCAGCAGCTCCCTGGGGCCCACGGCGGGTCCCTGAGGAACAAGAGGACAAGGCTGAGCCCAAGACCTCCTCCAGCTGCTCAAGCCAGGTCCCAGGTACTGAGAGCCACAGGCCATGGCGGGGTAGGGCCGCACCACCCCCTCCCCGGGCTCTGAGCGGGCTGTGACCCGGAAGTCCTCTCCTGGGGGTGGGGGCTCACAACTGAGGGGACAATCCCAAGTGCCCCTCCCCTGAGCCCATGGGACCATAAGGCCACCAGGGCTGGACGGGAGACAAAAGGCACCCCCAAAAAGGGCAGGGGCGGGGGCAGTGAGGGGCCATGACCCATGAGCAGGACAGGCCCAGGGCAGCTCTCAGGGAGCAGGGCCCGGCTCTGGCAGAGGGACAGAGCCCCCCTGGCGGGCAGGAGACCGAGGCTGGGAGGAGTGCCTCCCTCCATCTTGCAGACAGGGCCTGCGCTGGGCTCAGGCCAGAGAAGCAGGCCAGGTGAGTTCCTCCCCAAGAGACACTGGCTTCCGAGTGACAGGGGCAGAGTGGAGCAAACCCAGGGGCTGCGAAGCAGAGCCACCTCCCCTGGCGCAGTCCAGGGAGGCTTCCTGGAGGAAGGGTCTAAGCAGGCTGGGGAACGGCAGGATAGCGAGCCTAGGCAGGGGCATGGTAAGCAGGAGCAGCAGGAGCACAGGCTGAAGGCTGGCTCAATGGCCCTCCTGCCCCACCCCACCCCCCATCAAGGGTACAGGGCCAAGCAGGAGAGGGTGGACCCTGAGATCAGCTAGTCAAGAGGGGTCAAAGGCCACACACCTAGTGGAGGGGTGGAGGGTGAGAAGTCGCCAGAGAGGACGGAGGGAGTGGCTGGGGTGATGACAGACACTGGGCGCTCTGGAGGAGGCGGGAAGCAGCATCAGAGCCCCCCATCCCAGGCTGGGTGACCCCGGACAACTGCCCAGTCCGCCAAGGTGGGCGCAGGCTTTGGTCTACAGCAGAGGTTTAGGAACTGGCCTAGGGCCACCAGCCAGCCGGTGAGCAGGCCCTGGGGGACAGGACCTAGTGACCCAACGCCAAAGTCCAGGAGGCGGCTTCTGCTCACGCTAGGGTCAGAGGTCACCCTGAGGAGGGCCACAGCTTCTCCGGGGAGCAGGAGCGGGGCAGAAAGGCACTGCCTTGGGGGAGCCAGGGGTTAGGGGAGGAGCCCCGGTGGATACTGAGGCTCTGCCTGTGGCGACCCTACCCCATGATTCCTTGGAGGGGGGGGGGCTTTGTCTGATATGCGCTTTCCTTGGTTTCCAGGGCCTTCCAGGACCTCGGGCTATAACCTGCTCCCCTCTCCCCCCAAGGTCCCCATGCCACCTGATTCGAGCAGCAGCTCCTGGGGGTCCAAAGACCTGCAGTTCCGGGGTCGTCGGCTCAGAGCCCTGGGTCGCTCCGGGCCTGGCCGGGGTCAGGGGCTGGCTGCAGTGGATGCTCTGAGGTCAGCCCTGGAGGTGGCCTCCGGCCCGAGCTCTCCGGCCCAAGGAGGTCCAGGCCCAAGGCCAGCACCAGACCCAGCAGCCAAACCTCCAGCCCCGTGGTGTTTGCCACACCTGAAGCCCATCACCCCAGCCCAATCCCACCCCTAGTGTAAACCCCACCCGCTGCCCGGCCGGCTGGACAGGACCGAGGGGACCCAGCGTGTTTGAGGCTCCTCATAGAACCCAGATCATCTGGGGGGAGGTCGTGGGGGGAGGAGGTGGGCCTGGCACAGCGAGGCCCCTCTTGCTGGAGAGAAGTGGGAGTTGGGACCGGCCGGGAGGAGGCGCAGGGCCCCCACTTCTGTGGGGCAAACCTTCCCAGGCCTGGAAGACACCCGGTGGGGCCACCCCTGGAGCTGTGGTCCCGGCCTAGCGCTCGCCTTAGGCATTCAAGAGTGCGGCCAGGCCCCCCATCCCAGGCGTTCTTGTAGGGACGGGGCGGGGACACCGGGAAACCCAGAGAATCCTTTCCACTCCCAAGTGTACAGAAATGCAGTTTACTTCATAGGTGACGTTGGTTCAATAAATTACGCAGCTGGCACTGTCTGCCTCCCACGGCGTTCTCCCCGCGGCCCCCGGGCGCCCCACCCCACGCTGCCCCGCCGCCGCCACAGTCAAGGAGAGGCCGCCCGAGCCCGGCTCTACACCGGGCGATACACGTTGACGGGAATGGGCGGGCAGCTAAGGAGGCGGAAACCGAATCTTTTCTCGGCCATGCTCTGCACCGACAGTGCCACGATCGGGCAGTCCCGGTCGACGGTCTTCCGGCACACCTGGGGGGCGCGGGCGTGAGGGGCGCCCCCGGCGGGAGGGAGGGGCCGGTGGGAGGGGCTATGAAGGGGGCGGGGCCCGGAGGGCGGGGCGAGGTTGCACGGAGAAGGGCGGGGCCTGGGCGGGAAGGGAGATGAACGGGGCGGGGAGGGGCGGCCGGGGGCGGGGCTGCACGAGAGGGGCGGGGCGATCCACCCGCGACGCCCCGCACGCGCGCTCTCACCCGGACCCTGTGCTCCTTGTGCTCCTTCCCTTCCTGACAGTCTGCGAGGTCCGGCCCGTCCTCTGCGTGGGACAAGGGTGAAGGGGGCGTCGGGCCGGCCTCGCCCATCCTGCCGGGCCGCCCCTCCCTCCTCACCTGCCGCACGCTCACGGGGGATGGCGGGCAGAGGCTCCCGCGCGTCGGTCTCTGCGCGCTCGGGCGGCGCCGGCACCTCCCCGGGGCCGAGGAGCTTGCTGGGGGTCAGGCGCGGCAGCGGGGCCCGGGTCCTGGTGGGGCGAGCGGGTGGTGAGGGCCCGCGCCGCCCGCAATCAAGGGGCGGTCCCGGCGGGCACAGGGCTGGGAAGGGGCGTTCAGGGGGGACCCCTGAATGACCCGGGGCCGGCCTGGCGAGGGCCGGACTGCGGAAGTGGGGGGCGGTCCTATCGGGTCTGGGGGACGTTTGGGGGGCAGAGCCTGGGGAAGAGGCGGAGATCGAGGGACCCGCGGTCCCCACCTCGGCCTCCGGCGGCTCCGGGCCCGGGCCTTGGGCGCCCGACGGTTGCGCGGGGTTCGGGGCGGGCGCCCCTGCTCGGGAGTGCCGTCCCCAGGCTGGGCCTCCGGGAGCGGGAAGCGGTCGATGGACAAGTTGGTGTGGTCGTCGAGGGTGCTCGTGGCGGGCGTCACGCTGTGCGGAGCCTGGTGCTCACTGAGGAGCTGCGGGCGGGCCGGGCGCTCGGTCACCCCGCCCCGCGAGCCCCCCAACCCCCCAGCCTCCCGGCCGGACCCGCACCGACCTCGCCATTGGGGCTCAGGAGCAGAGTCACCAAGCTGCGGCGGGAGCGGACGTGGCGGGGTCCCCAGCCCACGGACGAGGGCATCGGCTTCTTGGCGCTGCCGGACCCCTTGCCCCAGACCTGGGGACGGCGCCGGGCGCGGGTGAGGCGCGCGGGGCGGGCGCGCGCGGGCGCGGGGGGCGCGGGGCGTACCGTGACGTGGTGCTGCGGCGCCAGCAGCGTGCGCGGCGGGAAGCGGTACAGGTACACGGGGAAGTCGTGCTCCAGCTGCTGCAGCGTGAAGCCGCCCAGGTCGACCGTCTCCTCCACCGACTGGTTGAGGACGCAGATGAACCGCTCGCGAAGGTTCACGGCCGCGATCTTCACGCAGGAGCCCTTCCGGCTGCGGCGGGAGCGGCTGGTCAGGGCCCCCTCCTGCGGGGAGACCGGCTCCTGCCCCCCCGCCCCGCGCCGCCCTCACCTCCAGGGGTGAGACAGCTGCCAGTGGTCGGACACGACGCGGGCCTTGCGCACCGGGCCCAGCCGGTCTGCGGGAGAGGGGAGGCCGGTTTGGGAGCGGGACCCTAGACGGGGCGTCTTCTGGGGACATCGCCTGCGAGGCCACCTGGCCTGCAGCGCCAGGGGTCAGGTCCAGCTCAGGAGGGGTGGCGGGACCCTGGGGCCGAGGGGAGCAGAGGAGAAGTTCCTGGTACTGGGAGGAGTTCCAGCCAGAGCACGGAGGCCTGCAAGACCCCCTCATCCAGCGGTTCTCAACCTTCCTCACGCCGCGACCCTTAACACAGCTCCTCATGTTGTGGTGACCCCCGACCATAAAAGTATTTTCGTGGCTACTTCATCACTGTCATTTTGCCACTGTTATGAATCGTCATGTAAATATCTGATATGCAGGATGTATTTTCATTGTTACACATTGAACATCATTAAAGCATCGTGATTAATTACAAAAACTATGTAATTATATCTGTGTTTTCCGATGGTCTTAGGCGACCCCTGTGAAAGGGTCGTTTGACCCCCAAAGGAGTTGCGACCCACAGGTTGAGAACCGCTGCCCTAATCCCTACAGAGAGGCGGAAGGACGTTGGGGTGTCTCATTTAGGGCACTGGACAGAGATCGCCAGGGCCCTGCAGGGCGGAAGGGAGAAAACAGGGAGGCACGCCCCAGCCACCTTTAGACTCGGCCTTCCAGTCCCTGATGGAACTCCGGAGGAAGCTGCCAGGCCGCGAGTCCTGCGACGCCCTGATGGAGCTCCTGGCACGGGAGTCCTGCGACCCCCTGATGGAGCTCCTGGCACGAGAGTCCTGCGACCCCCTGATGGAGCTCCTGGCACGGGAGTCCTGAGAGGTCCGGATGGAACTGTGGTGCCGAGACTCTACCTGCTCGCGAGAAATGTGGCCTGGCGCCAGGGGCGGGTGCCCTGTCACCTTCTGCATGCCGCGGCGAGCGTCAGATTCAGAGCTCCCCGAGCTGCTGGTGCCCACGAGGGGCAGGGAGCTCCACTCCACACTCTTGCGAAAAGACTCCTTGGGCAGTTTGCTCAACCCGGAGCCACTTTCTTCAGGTTTGTCCAGCCTGGAGCTACTTTCTTCAGGTGGTGAGCCGGATGGGAGCTGCAGGGTCTGCCTGCGGGAGTTGCGCCTGCAGGCCACAGTCTGCTCACTAGCTGCGGGGCGACTGCTCCCGGACCCAGCCCTGCCCCCAGCTTGCCTCCCCACGGTAGGCGGGGCACCCCAAGTTGTGGTCCAGGGCCCCAGGACCCAGCCTGGGAAAAGGGCTCTTGGCAAGCCCCGGGGCCTTTCCCTGCATCCCCCCCGACCCTGTCCTAGAGATCAGAGAACTGACTCCCAAAAGACTCAAGTGACTTGTCCAGGGCCCCTGAGGGTGGTGCTTGGGCTCGGCCAGCCCTCCCTTCCCAGGCCCCTGGAGGAGTCCCTCCCTGCCCAGCGCAGTCACTTGAAATCCGAGCTCGACTGCATGTTGGCCAAGAGGTTGGGGAATCGATGGGCGATGGCGTTCCAGTCCACATCCTCCAGCCGGAAACCCTGCCCACGAAGCAACAGGCATGTGGCCCACCCCTCCCGCCAGGGCCGTGGATGCCCGTGAGGGACCTGGCTCACCTCCTGAGCAGGGGAGGCCTCATCATTTTCAGAGGGGTCACTGAGGTCCAGCAGGGTCTCCGCAGTCACCACCTGCAAGAGGGACCGGAGGCCAGTGGGCAGGGGCTGGGGGGAGGGCACCTGTCCCCCCAAGACATCTCTCCCCTTCGGCCTCCCCAGCACCTGAGGCAGACACTTGCTGAGTGACAGGTGGGCCTGGACCCCTGGGCTTGTGGTTCCTCCCTGTCTCAGGCCACCATCCGAGCAGGCTTCCCCAGCAGGCCAGAGCCCCCCAGCAAGAGCTCAAATCTGGGCAGGCTGGGCTGGGAGGCTGGAGGGGGGGCCGGGCGGACTCACCTCCACGCTGCCGGTGGATGACCTCAGCATGCGGCCCACCCAGGAGGAGCTGGCCAGCTTCACGAGGCAGGACTTGTGCAAGGCCTCCAGCTGGGCCTCCAGCTGCTGCACCACGGTCTTGGTCTGCTCCAGCTTCTCCTCCAGCTTCTTTTTCTCCTGCCCCAGGAGAGCCCACAGGGCAGGTGGGGCCTTCTCCGACCCTGCCCCTCTCTCCGAAGCCACGCCCTGCCCAACTCCCAGGTCCTCTCACCAGCTGGGCCTGTTCCTTTTGCTGTTTTAACTCCAGAGCCAGCTTCTGGACCTGGATCTGCAGGGGCTTGTCCTGCAGGGGCTTTACCTGCAGGGGCTTTTCCTGATTGTGATAGCTCCTGGGAGAAGGGGCGAGCTCAGTGGCCCCCACGACTGGGTTGGCAGTCAAGGAGGGGGGCGGGAGGGGCCCCAGGGCACAGGCCAGTCCAGCCTGAGAGGATATCAAGTCTTTCAGGATGAGGGTGGGGGATTAGGGTCAGGCAAGAGGCAAAGGTCAGAGTAAGGGTCAGGGCTGGGATCGGGTTGGGGTTGGGGTTGGGGTCAGGCAGAAACCAGCAGTTAGGGCTGGACCAGGGCTGGGATCGGGTTGGGGTTGGGGTCAGCCTCAGTGGTTGGGGTTGGGGTGGGGTTGGGGTCAGGCAGAAACCAGCAGTTAGGGCCAGACCAGGGCTGGGATCGGGTTGGGGTTGGGGTTGGGGTTGGGGTTAGGGTTGGGGTCAGGCAGAAACCAGCAGTTAGGGCCAGACCAGGGCCGGGATCGGGTTGGGGTTGGGGTTGGGGTCAGGCAGAAACCAGCAGTTAGGGCCAGACCAGGGCTGGGATCGGGTTGGGGTTGGGGTTGGGGTTGGGGTTGGGGTCAGGCAGAAGCCAGCAGTTAGGGCCAGACCAGGGCCGGGTTCGGGTTGGGGTTGGGTGGGGTTGGGGTCAGGCAGAAGCCAGCAGTTAGGGCCAGACCAGGGCTGGGATCGGGTTGGGGTTGGGTGGGGTTGGGGTCAGGCAGAAGCCAGCAGTTAGGGCCGGACCAGGGCCGGGCCGGCCGAGCTGGTCCCTGCTACCTCTGCAGTGGAAGCCTGGCCACCTCGCGCAGGACGCGGGAGCGCCGGGCATCCTGCTGGTTCCGCTGGTCACGGAGGGACCGCAGGGCCTGGATCTCCAGTTCCCGCTGCCTCCACAGCAGCCGCAGTGTGTGGGGATCCAGGGACTCGGGGGCCAGTCTGCAAAGCCGGCACCCCAGCTGCCTATCAGGCCCTACCCTCCGGCGGGCCTGGTTTTTAAGCGGCTGGCCGCCTCTCCCTTCCCTCCTTACGGCGGGTTGACGGAGGCCGCTTGTGTGGAGCTGGACTTGGTGTCCTTCAGGCCGGCGGGAGCGACCAGGTCTGCGGGTGTGTCCTCTGGAGGCTCCAGGGGGCTGCTGACGGCCTCTCCACCCACCGGAGATGGGAGAGCCTCTTCCTCGGCCTCTCCAGCCTCTGGGCAAGACTCGGGGGCCATTTTCGATGTTCTCGGAGGAGCTGAGAGGGGTGGGGGTGTCTGCCCTGTATGACAGGTGCACGCATCCCCCAGGGCTCTCCTCAGCCAGAGCCACAGGCGCGTGTGTGTCTGACAGCCCCAGGCAGCACCCCTGGGTGGCTCTCCAAGGAGGCCCGTGTGTGTGTGTGTGTGTGTGTCTGACAGCCCCAGGCAGCACCCCTGGGTGGCTCTCCAAGGAGGCCCGTGTGTGTGTGTGTGTGTGTGTGTGTGTGTGTGTGTGTGTGGGTGTGTGTGTGGTGGGTGTGGGTGTGGGTGTGGGTGTGTGTGGGGTGTGTGTGTGTGTGTGGTGTGTGTGTGTGCGTGTGTGCGTGTGTGTGTCTACTCCAGGGGACAGCAGACGGTGGGTCACGTGGGTGTCCACACCTTTGTGTTTCCGACCAGGCCAGGGCAGCAGGACACACCTCTAGGCAACGTCGCCTGCGTTTTCATACATTCTCTGTGGTCTCCACACTAAGAGCTCTGCCCTCCAGGATCTGAGGTACCCACCCCAGCCTACAGCAAGGGTCCCAGAGGTTCTGGTCCTTTACCCACAATGCCCATGCCCCCCCCCCCCCACCCCACCCCCACCACCCAGACCCAGGGCCCTACCCCTGACACTCACCTGAGGCCTGAAATCCAAGCAGGCCGGGGGAGAGAAAGGCTCTGTAGCATTGCCATGGATACCAGCACCCAGAAAGGGAGGGGCTGTTTGTTACCAGGAGCCTCCAGGGAGACCCAGACCATGGCCCAGAGTGAGCCCCAGGCCCCCCACCTCCTCCTCCTGGAGGGCTGGTCCAGCCTGAAGGAGAAGCCCAACGCAACTTCTGAAGGTCCGGGGTACACCGAGGGCCCAGCAGGGCCTGCTACGGCCTCATTCAGCCCAACACCCCCAGCCAGCCCTGGGGGAGGCTCCACAGGCCCTCCCCCGCCTGCCCATGCAGATCGGTCAGTGAGTATCGGGGGTATGGCTGTCCTGTGACAGCAGGACCAGGCTCCTGAGAATTCGGACCTCACGGGGCTGACCCGACAGGAGGGGGAGAGGAAGGGTGGATGGCCCCAGAAGCTGGGGGAGGGTCTTGCTGAGTGCCTGCACGGTCTCTGCTCTCAGTGCCCGGTGCCCACCCACCTGACCCACACGCCAGAAACCTCACTTTCCCCTGCTCGTCTCCACCACCTTGGTCACCCTGGGGACATTCCCATAATCATGACAACTGTTCCCTCTGGCCTGGAATGAAAGTGAGGCCCAGACCTGACCCACAGGGCAAATGCCCTCCAGCCTTTGCCCCCCACCCCACCCCACCCCACCCCACCCCACCCCACCTTCACCCTTTCAACGTACATTTATTCAGACCTTCGACTTTTGTTCATGTGGGACCTCCTGTGTTGGACATAACACGGGCAGGCAGGAAGACCCCCGGGGTCCAGTCTGATTAGGGCAGAACCGGTTCTTTTTTTTTTTTTTTAATATATTTTATTGATTTTTCACAGAGAGGAAGGGAGAAGGATAGAGAGGTAGAAACATCGATGAGAGAGGAACATCGATCAGCTGCCTCCTGCACACCCCCCACCAGGGATGTGCCCACAACCAAGGTACATGCCCTTGACCGGAATCGAACCCGGGACCCTTCAGTCCGCAGGCGGACGCTCTATACACTGAGCCAAACAGGTCAGGGCCCAGAACCGATTATTTTTTTTTAAATCTTCACCTGAGGATTTCCATTGATTTTTAGAGGAGAAAGGGAAAGACAGAAATATCAATGTGCGAGGAACACATGGATTGGTTGCGTCCTGCATGCACCCCGATCTGGGCCCCGGCCAGGGAGGAACCTGGCACCTTGACCGGATTCCAACCCGGGACCCTTCGGTCTGCAGGGCGATGCTCTCTCCACTGAGCCAGACCGGCCAGGGCAGGGGCCATGGCTGAAGAGCTGCTGGCTTGGGCTCTCCCGTGGGGCAGGAGGACTGACCAGGCAGAGGAGGTGTCCACAGCTCAGGAGGGCGCTGGGCCCCCCGAGGGACAGGAAGGGGTGGAGAGAATTAGGCTCAAAGAGCCCCGGGCCTTTGTCACCAGCGTCTAGGAGGTGGGCCCCTTCCCCCACCAGCACGGTCAGCCCGGCTGCAGCGAGAGGGGGCCGGCGGCTCCCCAGCTCCCCCGACCCCGGTGCACCCCATGACTGCGGCCAGGCCCCGAGGGAGCAGGAGACGAGGGACCCTGGCGCGGGGGGCGCATCAGGCAGGGTTCTCTCTGGACGCCGGCGGGCTTGCGGGGTCCCAGGCCCGGGCCCCCGCCCTAGACGGGAGACTCGTCAGATTGGGCGGCTGCGGAGGAAGTGGGCCCGGGAATGGGGCCAGACACCTGCCCCACGCGGCGCCTCGGCTGCAGGCACGCGCTTCCGCGTAGCTCGCGGGCTTTGGCTGTGAGTGGACCCGGGCTCCACCGGCCACTCCGTGCCGCCAAGCCCCGCCCACACCTGGGCGCCGGAGGGGGGGCGGGGCGGGCGGGGAGCCAATGGGGAAAGGCGGAGCCCAAAGAAAGTGGCCAATGGGCGTGTGCGAGAGGGTGGGCGGGCGCGCCAAGAAGCCAATGGGAGAGCGCGGGGCGGGGCCGGGCGGACGGGCTGCGAGCCAATGGGTGGCGGACAGGGACGCTCCCGCGGCGCAGGAGGCGGCAGGTTGCCGCGGCGCCGGGTGCTGGGCAGGAGTCAGTTGGAGTTCGGGTCCCGGAGGCCGGCGGGCGCCCAGGTGAGCCGCGCGGAGCCCGGGAGCCTCCTGAGGCCGGCGGCCGCTCAGAGAGAGGCTCCGGCGCCGGGCCGCGCGTGGGGGCCACACCTGCGCCCGCCCCACGGCAGGGGCGGCGGCCTCCCCAGCGAGCGCTGCGATCGGCGGGAGTGGGCGGGGGCTGCCTGCTCCCGGCTCAGTGGGTCCGGAGGGCCGAGGTCAGACCCAGGGCAGGGTGCGTTCCCATGGCAGCGGGGTGCAGAGTTGGCGGACGGGCGCCCCTGGGCGCTGGGGACGGCGCCCCGCGGGAGGGGCAGTGCCCTCCGCGCCAGGTGACTGGGGGGGCAGGAAGTCCTGCATCTGGTTAATGATTCCCCTTGTTCCGGGAGTGGGGCGGGGCCAGAGGAGGCTGGGAAGTGGGGAAGCCTCCAGTGCTCCTGGAGGGCCCACTGGTTCCCCCCTTTGGGGGGCTGGTCTTGACTGCCCCCACCCCAGGAATGTGTGGCCTGCGGGTAGGGCTGGGCACAGGATAGCAGGGCGGCAGCCCCGAACCAGTTCTGTGGGTGAGGGACGGGCCCGGGGGGAGGGCCAGGCAGGGCTGGACATTGTGGCCCTCACCTGCAGGACAGGGGTATGCCCTCTGGGCTGGGCCATGGAGCTGAAGGTGTGGGTGGACGGCATCCAGCGAGTGGTCTGCGGCGTCTCGGAGCGGACCACCTGTCAGGAAGTGGTGGTCGCACTAGCTCAAGCTATAGGTGAGTCCCCACCAGGTGGACCTGGGGTGGGGTCTGGCCCTCTGAGGGTGGGGCTAGTTGCTGATCCCTCTTGCCCTCCCCTTGCTTCTCAATCTAGGGGACAAGGGATGGGGGATGTAGGCTGACCCCTCTCCCCCACCCCAGGCCAGACTGGCCGTTTTGTGCTCGTGCAGCGTCTCAGGGAGAAGGAACGGCAGCTGCTGCCCCAGGAGTGTCCAGTGGGTGCCCAGGCTACCTGTGGACAGTTTGCCAGTGATGTCCAGTTTGTCCTGCGGCGGACAGGGCCCAGCCTCACTGGGAGGCCCTCCTCAGACAGCTGCCCACCGCCTGAGCGCTGCCCAGTCCGCGCCAGCCTTCCCCCAAAGCCCAGACCAGCACTGGGCCGTGAACCCCAGAAAGCACTGACCCTCAGCCTGGGGTGCCCCAGGCTGGCCTCTGGCCTGGCGCTGCCTGAGCCGGTGGCCTCTGTCGCGCCGATGCCCGGCCCCTGCGAAGACCTGCAGGACCTGGAGCGGCGGGTGCAGAGGAACGCAGCAGAGCTGGGCCAGGAGGCCTTCTGGGAGCAGGAGCTGCGGAGGGAGCAGGCGCGCGAGCGGGAGGCACAGTCCCGGCTGCAGGCCCTGAGCGCGGCCACTGCTGAGCATGCCGCCCGGCTGCAGGCCCTGGACGCCCAGGCGCGTGCCCTGGAGGACAAGCTCTGCCAGGCTGCAGAGGCCCCTGGGCCCCCTTCGCCCACAGCATCTGCCACAGAACGCCTGCGCCAGGACCTGGCTGCCCAGGAGCGGCAGGGTGCGGAGGTACAGGGCAGCCTGGCCCTGGTGAGCAGGGCTCTGGAGGCTGCAGAGCACGCCCTGCAGGTGAGCTCCTGGGACTGGCACCCGGACTGGACACGGGTGGATTTGGGGGTTGGTCTTGGGGTCTGACCAGGTTCATGGCTATGCCCACTGAGGGTCCCATGTGCCCCAGGCCCAGGCCCAGGAGCTCGAGGAGCTGAACCGGGAGTTGCGTCAGTGTAACCTGCAGCAGTTCATCCAGCAGACGGGGGCCGCTCCCGGCACGCAGGTCAGCGTGGTTCCCGAGGGGGGTCGGGCTGGCGGGGGCCCAGCCCGGCTCCCAGCTGACCCGCTTTCCCCACAGGATCTCATGCCTCCAGCCAGAGGAAAGCCCCTCCCAGGAGCCCCCCGGAGCCCTGCCCTAGTGTCCAGCCTGAGCCCAGAGGGTATGTCTGTCTGCCCCGCTCTGGGTGGGATGAGGTCCTCCTGTGGCCCCCCAGCCCCTCAGCCTGTGTCCTCTCCCAGTTTCCCCCCTGAGGCAGAGCTGGAGGTAGCAGTACCTGCCCCTGCCCGCAATGAACGTCCACTGCCAGCCCAGCCCTGGGCTCTGATGGCACGAGCGAGGGCAGCCAGGGGCAGCCCAGCCTGGATAACAGAAGGACTGGCGGCCATGGAGGACTCGCGCCCCCATGCAAGTGGAAGCCCTCGGGCCCTGCACCTGAGACAGAACACCCGGAACTGGGCCAGGAGGCGGCTGAGGACTCTCACCTGGTACTTGCCAAGTCTGCCAAGCCCCCTGAGAAGCCTGGGCATGGCCCGCTCAGAACTTGCTAGGCCCCAAAGGCCACAGCTCTTTGTTGGGGACCGGAGATGCGTGGATGCTGTTTTTATCTGTGGGTCTGTGCTCGCGTGTGGGAGGCACCCTTCAGTGTGTGTGTGTGTGTGTTCGTTCAGGTGTGTGTGTACACGAGTGTGTGAGTGCTGCCTCCCCTACGACACTGAAACCTCAATAAACTGCCTGAAGTGGCTGGAGTGTGTCCTGAGGCAGCCTAGGCGGGGTCTATGAGGTCTAACACTGGGGACTCCACCCAGGGTCACTGGGCAGTACCCCGAGCTGCCGGGGGCTGGCCACAGCCAGGGCTCCTGAGAAGGGGTCTCCCAGGGCCTTCCGTTTCAGGCTGCCGTGCCCGCCCCCTCCCCCTCCGGGGCGCTCTGTAGCCGGAGCCTGGTGTTGGAATTGGTCAGGCTGGAGCCCTGGCTTGGGTTTTATCGGACCCTCTCCCACCTCGCTCCTCTCCCTGGGCCTGCTCCTCCCCAGCAGGAGCTGCCGCCCACTCTGGGGTGGCCCCTGGAGAGGAGGACTCCAGGACATGCCAGACCTGCCTGTCAGGTTGACTAAGGCTGAGAGCTTGTAGGGGTGGGTCCCAGGACTCCTGGGTTGGCCAGGCCCAGGGAGCTGTGCCCAGAGGAGCTCTGTAGGCCCCGTGAGGGTGTGGCCACCGGCCTCCCCACACCCCCCTCGGCTCCCCAGGTGGGCGGGAAGCCTCTGCTGGGAGCCTGCAGCCTTGAAGTCGGGGCAGCCATCCAACTCGCAGTCCTTTGCTGGGCTGGGCCGCAGCTCCCGGCTCCGAGGGCTGTGGTGAAGACCAGAGAGCTCTGTGACAGCCCAAACTCGGGCTCAGCCTCGGTACTGGGGACCAGGAGGGTGACAACCTAGGTCATGGGGGTTTGGGCTGAGTTTTGGGGTTGGCAACATTGGGATGGAGTCAGCCTTCTGGGGTGGCCCTGAGTCAGGCCTGGTGCTCCCCACTTCCTTTGGAGCAGACCACAGGGGCCGTGAAGGCCTCAGCGTCAGGAGCAAGGAAGCCAAGAGCCCAGCTTGCGGGGAGCAATGACGGGGGTGGGGTGGGGGGACTTCCCGCTGAGACAGCACAGATGGGGAGTGGCCGGATCGCTCCAGGCGACAGGAGGGATCCTCTGCTACCTCCCAGCCCGGCCACACTCCTGTCTCCACTGCCCTGCTCAGCAGCCTGTTCCTGACCCGTGGGTCCAAGCACAGGGTCACACGGGGTGTAGCCTGGACTGGAAAGGCTGAGGGGGCCATGTCCTGGTGGAAGGGCTGGGAGCACGGCCTGCTCCCCTCGCCCATAGTCCCTACCCACACTCAGGAAGGTGGGATGGAGCTGGGCCCCAGCCCTGAGCCACTGCAGGGATCACCTTCCACGCTGAGCACAGGGCAGCAGGGGCAAAGCCAGGTGCCAGCAGGGGCCATCCTACACACGGGATGGGCAGGACTAGCCCTTGCCCTCCCCGGTATCATGAGCTTCCTCACCAAGTCTCCCAGCCCCAAAGGGAAGCAGGCACAGCGCTGGCTGAGCTCGCGCACCCTGGTCTCCTATGTCCGTTTCCAGGGACACCTGTCTTGAAGCCACCACGAGGGGCTTGTCCCCGGTCTGCTCCTGGCTCTGTCAGGCTCCTGAGCCCACTTCAGAAGGGGTCCTCTCCGCCGAAGCGAAGAGAGCGGTGGGGGGTGGGGCAGGGAGAGGGGGCTACCCCAGGTGCATGAACTCCCACCCCACCAGATGTTGCCAGAGGTGCTTCAGGTCGCTAAGCAAACCTCTGGCTGAGAAGTTTACTTTTGAGTTTTAACTTATACGTTGAAAACAGTGATGTAAGCTGTGCTGAGGTGAAGAAAAGCCAGCTCCCCCCACATGTCCGGTTAATTGCAGGGCAGGACCAAGCCAGGCCCGGCCGGCCCCAGGGAGGTGAGGCAGGACCTGCCTGAGTGAGGATGGAGCAGCCCTCATCACTGGTCACGGCTGCTCTTCAGGGTCAGGCTGTGCTGGAGGACAGCACTGGCGCCCCCGAGGGCTGGCGGACATACCTGGGTGCACCGAGGGTCACCCACAGTAATCACTGCCCAGTGGCTGCAAACAGCTCCGCTGGTTCCAACCCCAAAGCAGCCACGGCCTCCCTAACACCTGCCCACCCTGGCCCCACCAGCCTGCTGGGTGTGACACCAGTGACCGCCAGGACAGGGTCCTTCCAAAGTGAAGTCCAAGCCCACCCCAGTCCTTCAGGCCTCGGACAGCAGCAGGCCCGGCGCCAGCCATCAGCCCCACTGCCGGAGAGGGGCAGGGCCTGCCTAGGCATTCGGCCCCTGCAGACCGGGCGACTGCTCTGGGCACACTCCACGCTCAACGTTTTCTCGGGGCACCTGAGAGCACCCACAGGGGAGGCAGGCCCAGCGCTCAGGCCCGGACTTCACCAGGTGCCCCGCCGCTGGAAGGGGGACAGGGTACCCTGCTGGGCACCACACATGGGGCCTTGCCGTCCTCTTCCTTGCGGTCCTGGAGGCTCCAGTCGGCACCCGCCCTCAGTGTGGCGACATCCAGGAGACCATCACAGGAGCGCGGCACAGCTGGCACCTGGCACACACGGGAAGAAAGTTCCCTCCAAGAGGGCACTGCTCCCGCCTGAGCCCTCTCAATGCCCCTGCTTTCTCTCCCACACCCTGGGTGTTTGCTGGGCGCAAACAGGCAGACCCTTCCATAGGGGCGCCCTGCCCCACCCCACCCCCCGCCCCCCACCGGACGCGCGCCCTCCGACCCCCTCTGGCCTCTCCCTGCCGGTGTGGCCTCCCCCTGCCCGACAGCGCAGGGTCACAGAGGGGCCGGGGCGGTCGCGCTGCCCAGGAACAGATCAGCCGCTGTCACACGCACAGTGGGTCCGGAGCAGCGCAGTGTGCGGTGGGCAGTGGCTGCCCTGCGCCTGGAGGGGCCATCCCGCACCCCAGCCCTCCTTCCCTTCCAACCTGGGCGTCCGAGCCCCTGCAGCTGGCGAGGGCGGGCGGCTGGTGGGATGCGCCCCCGCCCGCCGGCCTGGGCCCCCAGCGCATCACCTGCGCCCCCCGCTGCGGGACAGTCGCCGGCTCTCGGCCCAACTTCGGCAGCGGCCGCGGCCCCCTCGCGCCCCCACCGCCCCGCGCCCGCGCCCCGCGCCCGGTCCGTATGCAAATATGAGGGCCCCGCAGCCAATTGCCGGCCGGGCCGGGCCCGTCCTGCCACGCCGCAGCCAGTGGGAGCGAGGGGGGTGCGGACGCCACGCCCACCGCCGCGCGGCCCCTCGCGGGCGCGGCCGGCGCGTTCCTTTCCGCACGTCGGCCTCGGGGCGGGGCCGCCACCTGCCGGGCGGGGCCTGGGGCGCCTCGGCACCTCCTCGCCGGCCGCTCCCCGCCCGCCCGTCCGGGTGGTTCCACCCGAGGCGCCGTTCCCCGCCCGCCCGCCGCGCAGGGGCCGGCGCCTCCCAGGGCACCCGCGGGACTCCGCGCACGTAGCCGCGGCCGAGGAGGGGCCTCGGCTTCGGGACACACGTACTGCCCGCGTCTCCCGCGCCCATCTCGGCGGCCTGGCTGGCGGGACAGAGCTGGCGTGGACTCCGGCTCCGCCCGGTTTGCCCGCAAACCCCTGGATCCTTCCATGGGGAAGGCTCGGAGCCCGGAGCGCGGGCCTAGGGTCCGTGGGCTTGTCCCCTGGCGTTGCCAGCCTGTCCGGGCATTGGGGAGGAATGAATAGCCAGGGAACTGGTTCGGACCCGGAGGGAGTGACTCCTCGAGGAGCCCCAAGGTGGCCGCCCAGGGACACTGGGCCCTGGCCCCTTCCCTTCCCACTCCCTTCGGGCCCCCATGGCCCCGGGGATCCCTGAGGCAGAATCAGGTCACCCAGACCCCTGGCTGGGCAGAGAGGTGCCTGCTCCCCTTTTCTTCCTCGTACAGGGGTCCTCATAAGCCTTTTGCGCCCCCTCCATGGTCAGCAAGAGTTCCCCCTTCCCCCACCTCCCTCAAATCAACCTGAGCCTGGCCCTCCCTGGAGTCCCCACTCTCCTGGCTCCAGGCAGCTCCAAAGGTCCCCTCTGCTCTCCATTGGCTCCGCGGCCCTTGGCCCAGGGTGAGAGCCCCAGCCACCCTGGCCGCCTGACTGCCCTCCTGCCTCCACTGGCCAGCCCACTCCTGGGCCTCCCTGCCCCCAGTGACTTGTCTGCATGCCACATAAGTCTGGGCTCAGCTGCCACAAACCCAGCTCGGCCACTGCTGCACCCAGCCCACCATCACAGTCACTTCATTTCTTCCTTCAAGACTGTCGCCTGGGTGGCTCAGGGCTGGGTGGCTCCAGGGAGGCATCTGCCCTCTCTGGGACCTCAGGAGTGTGAGAGCTGGTGCAGGGAAGTGTAGCCACCTGTGGATGGGGAAGGAGCTCAGGGCCATGAGTGGATCAGCTCTAGTGGGTCAGAAGTTGAGGTGTCACCAAGACCTGGATCAAGTGGGTCCCCGAGGAGGCCCACACCTTCCCGACGGGGGTGGGCTGACACAGAGGTTCGGAGGGAAGAAGTCTGGGACTCGCGGACATGGAGAGGCCAGAAGTCAGGGTGACTCCCAGTTTCTATCTTGCCCTGTTGGTACAACCCCCAGCTGCGCCCCCAGTCCCGGCAGTTCCAGATGCACCCATTCCCGCACCCTAGTGGGCTCAATGGTGTTCCCTCAAAAAGATATGCTCGGCCTGTCCAGTGGCTCAGTGGCTGGGCGTCGACCCTTGCACAAGAGGTCAAGGTTCAATTCTCCATCAGGGCACATGTTGGGGTTGCAGCCCATCCCCCATGGGGGGTGTGCAGGAGGCAGCTGATTGATGTTTCTCTCTCATCGATGTTTCTATCTCACCTTCTCCCTTCCCCTCTCTAAATATCAATAAAAGTACATATATATATATATATATATTTTTTTTAATATATTTTATTGATCCTTCACAGAGAGAAAGGGAGAGAGATAGAGAGTCAGAAACATCGATGAGAGAGAAACATCGATCAGCTGCCTCCTGCACATTCCCTACTGGGGATGTGCCCGCAACCCAGGTACCTGCCCTTGACCGGAATCGAACCTGGGACCTCTCAGTCCGCAGGCCGACGCTCTATCCACTGAGCCAAACCGGTTTCGGCTACATATATATTTTTTGATTGATTTCAAGAGAGGAAGAGAGAGGGAGAAAGTTAGAAACATCAATGATGAGAGAGAATCATGGATCGGCAGCCTCCCACACTCCCCCCTCTGGGGATCAAGCCCACAACCCAGGCATGTGCTCTCGACCGGAATCGAACCCAATCAGCAGGCCGTCGCTCTATCCACTGAGCTAAACCAACCAGGGGGAAAAGTACATTTTAAAAAAGACATGTCTGCGTCCTAATGCCAAACCCTGTGAATGTGGCCTCCCTGGGAAAGGGTCTATTCGTGAAGCCCAGGATCTTTTTTTTTTTAATATATTTTATTGATTTTTTACAGAGAGGAAGGGAGAGGGATAGTGAGTTAAAAACATCAGTGAGAGAGAAACATCGATCAGCTGTCTCCTGCACACCCCCTACTGGGTATGTGTCCGCAACCAAGGTACATGCCCTTGACCAGAATCAAACCCGGGACCCTTCAGTCCGCAGGCTGACGCTCTATCCACTGAGCCAAACCGGTTAGGGCGAAGCCCAGGATCTTGAGGTGAGGTCACCCCGATTGCCTGGGCAGGCCTCAATCCACACCCTCGAGAGATGAGACGGACAGCCAGGGGGAGGCCGCGTGAAGACAGAGGCAGCGGCTGGGGCACCCGACCCAGAAGGACAAGACAGGGCTCTCCTTACAGACTTGGGAGGGAGCACGGCCCTGCCAACCTTGATTTTGGACTTCTGGCTTCCAGGGTTGTGAGGGAATCACTTTCACGGAAAAAACGTCTCTTCTGGGATGTCCCAAATGTGTCCTCAGGTTCCCCCAGCGCCTCCCCTGAGCGTGCCTCCCATCTTGACCTGGGCCAGGATGGTCCCTGAAGGGGGTCACTCCATCTGTGGTCGTTTGTTACAGAGGCCCCCAGGCACTAACACACTGCCCTCCTGAGCCGGGGCACACAGCCCTGCCTGTGTCCGCTTCCAGCTCCAGCCTGAGGGTGTGTGTGGGCCCCACGCCAGAGGACAGGGCTGGCCGGGGCTGGAGAGAACGGGGATGCTCCCAGCCCAGAGCTACCCTCCTGTGCGCATGATGTCTGTGCCTGCCTGGGCCTGGGAGGACAGGAGCAGGGGTGCCCGCACACACTGGGGACACAGCAAGGACTTCAGGGTGCAGGTATGTGAGGGGCAAGTGGGCAGGGTGTCCACGTGTCCTGCTTGGTGCTAGCACGTGAGAGGTGGCAGATGGGTGGCTGGTCAGGGTGGGCCAGAGGTGACAGTACTGAGGGGTGTAGGGAAGGTGTCCACGTGTGTGTGTTAAGGTATTTGTGTCAGCGTGTTTCAATAGGTGGGGGGCACAGATACATGCCTCCGTTTTTAAGGGGTACCACCTGTGCTCAGTCTGAGCCTAGACCAGGGGCTCTGGCACAGTTCCCTGGGGACACGTCTCACATCTGAGCACAGGTTGGCGTGGCTGGTAGGCTGCCTGCTGCTCAAGGATGCCTGCTAAGGCAGTGCGCGCGCTCTCGCTCTCTCTCTCTCTCTTTTTCTTTCTTCATGTATTTTTATTGATTTCAGAGAGAAAGAGAGAGAGAAACATCAATGTTGAGAGAGAATCATGGATCGGCTGCCTCCTGCATGCCCGCTACTGGGGACTGAGCCTGCAACTTGGGCATGTGCCCTTGACCGGAATCGAACCCAGGACCCTTCAGTCCGCAGGCTGACGGTCTATCCACTGAGCCAAACCGGCCAGGGCCAGGCAGTGTTCTTTGCATCTCATCGATGGTGCGTGTGTTTACGATAATTCCCAGCAGTGAGAAGGGCGGCCCCCTCCAAGCGGATCACGAGCAGCCTGTCCCCTTCCTTCCCAGGAGCTCAGCAGGCGCCATTGCCCCGTTTGGGACGTTCTCCTGGGCAGTGTCCTCCTATCGCGTGGTCTTCGGCAGGTGGGTGCGTGCGTGGAAGGCCCGCGCACGTCTGGCTCCCAGCTGAGGGGGTTTACCACGCCGGACCCCACCCGAGGGTGGCTGCTGTGCTCCCCCATCCAGCCCTCAACACCCCTCTTCTGCGGCCCAGGGCCCTAAGGCACAGAGAGGTCGAGAAACCCTCCTGAGGTCCACCTTCTCCAGACCCTGCCCCTTGGGTCCACAGAGCGGGGGTCACTGTGGGGTCCCCGCCTCTCTGGCATCTTCCACTCTTCCTTTCTGCAAAGTCCTTTCCAGACCCAGTAAGGGTGCTCTCCTCTCTCATAACAAAGCAGAACTCGGCCCTCTGGTGGCCACTCCTCAGCTACCGCCACTTGCTGTGCAAAACCACTGCAAAGACTTGGTGCTTGGCTTACTCCGTTACTGGCCTCTCAGGCTTTTTGTTGTTGTGAATCCTCACCGGGGACATCTCTCCCGTTGATTTTTAGAGAGAGTGGAAGGGAGGCGGAGACACACACACAGAAACATCGATGTGAGAGAGGCACATCCACTGGGACTGAGCCTGCACCGAGGTACCTGTCCTTGACGGAAATAAAACCCGTGACCCTTCAGTCAGCAGGCTCTAACCGCTGAGCAGCCAAACTGGCGAGGGCCCCATTCTCTTTAAACTCCCTCCACCTCCCCTGCCCCCCGGTGCTGCTGTCCGGGGGTCACCAATGGCCGCCACCTGGCTCCACCCAGGCCCCTCCCTGGATGTGCTTCTCTGGCCGGCTTCCAGGAGCCCCAACCCCTGAAAAGAAGTCTCTTCTGGGATGTCCCAAGTGTGTCCTCAGGTCCCCCCAGGGCCTCCCCTGAGCATGGCTCCCATCTTGACGGGGCCAGGATGGTCCCTGAAGGGGGTCACGAAAGTGGCCTCCGGACTGGCCCCGTGGTTCCCAGGGGATCCTATGAGCCAATGCACGTCCTCGTGCCGGGACCCTCCAGCTGCCCAGAGCCGCTGCCCTGCCAGGCTGCACGGGCCCCGCCACGCAGGCTGCTGGCTGTCCGCCGGCCCCTGCCCGCACTCGCAGCCCTCCGTCTCTGTCACGTCCATCCTCATCCCCTCAGTGCGCCCCGGTGCACCCTGCTGATCGATCACGGCGCGAATCCGTTGGTCCCACACACGCGGGGCACGAGGCACAGCGGTCCCTGGGCTCTGGTGTGCACCGGGCGGGGCCGCGGCGGGGGGTGTCGTCCTCGCCGGAACGGCGCCCAGGGCTCATCCAGGCTCTGTCCGCGAGGGAACCGCGGCCGCTGGGGGCGGGGCCTCGCGCTCGGGGCGGGGCCTCGCGCTCGGGGGCGGGGCCTCGCGCTCGGGGGCGGGGCCCCAGGTGAGCGGACGGCCGCTCCCATTCGCCCTGGGCGGCGGGCGCGGGCCGGACTGCACCAGCTCCCGGGCGGGGGGGCGGCCCGGGACGGCCCAGCGGCGGGGGCGTGGACACCCCGAGTCCCCCCAGGACCCGGGTCTCCGGGCGTGCGTCCTTAACTACACCGTGTGTCCAGCGCCCCGAGGCCCGCGACCGCGAGGAGCGGCCTTCTCCTCCGCTCAGGCCTCTCCCGCGCCCCCCCGTCTGTGGTTCCCGCCAACGGGCGGGGCGGGAGGGACCCGGAAGCTGGCTCGTGCGCTTCCGGGTCGAGGGGCGCGCGGCGGCGGCAGCGGCGGCGGCGGCCGGGCCTAGTCGAGGCTCTCGGTCCGGTGGCGGCGAGCGCCCGGAAGCGGCCGGCGGGGCGCGAGGTTCCCGGGTACGTGCGGGGGCGACGCCGGCCCCGGGGTCCCGGCCGCGTCCCGGCCGCGCGGTGGTTCCCGGGCGCCGCGCGCTTTGTCTGCGGCCTGCGGGGCGGAGCGAGGCCTGCGTCCCGGGCCGGCGGGCGGGCGGGCGGGCGGCGGCGGGGAGGCCTCGCGCCGGGGCTGGGGGGTCCCGCGGCCTGCAGGCGGGTTTCCGGGGTGGCCGCCTTCCTGTCCGGGCCGCGGGGAGCCCACCCGCCCCTTCCCGCGACTCCCCGCCGCCGCCGTCCCGTTCGAGCGAGCCGTGACCCTCCGCCAGCTCTCGGCCCACGTTGCTGCGTCGGCTGCGCCTGCGTCCGGGCGGCCGGGGGCGCCCCGGGGACGGCGTCCTCGTCCCGACGTCGGGAGCAGGTGGGGCTCGCTCCCAGCCCCGAGGTGAAGGAAGGGGCCGCCGGTGCCCACCGCTCCTGGCGTTCACACCTGCCTGTCTGCCCGCGGCCGCAGGGTGACCTGCCCGGTGACCCGCAGAACCTGAGGCTCGGGTGAGGTTTGACTTGGGGTTCCGCACGTCGCCCCTCTCCCGGAACGACCCTTCTGGCCCATGCCCTGCACCGGGGAGCCCCTGTGTGGCCTCGGTGGCCGTCTTAGCTTTCTGGGGTTCAGGCCAATGTACTTTCCGGCCTCCCAGCCGCCATGGCAGCCGGTGGATAAGAAGGGCCCACGAGTCCGGGCCTGGCACGGTTACCACCCACCGGAGACTCGGTTCCCCGGCAGTGGTCGGAATTGCCGGTGGTTGGGTCCCTGGATTTGAAGAGAGTGGGGAAGGTCTTCCTGCATTAATCCTTTCCCCCCTCCGGCCCCCCCTCCCCCCCGTGTCCCCAGAACTGGAGGCTGAGCAGGAGAACCACAGGTTGCTGCCGGCACCCGAAAGGCTGCCGGAACCGCGAGGGGCCCTGGGCTCCCCGGCAGAAGTGGCCTCTGGAACTTAGGGCAGAGTCCGCGCAGGCCCATAGGAGCTGGGCTGCTGCTGGGGTCCCTGGCTGGTCTTGTACTTGGTGTAGGTGCAGGTGCTGGCTCCGGAAAGTACCTTTGGAGGCTACCCAGGTCCTTTCTCGGGGTGCAGCCAGCATGTACTGTTGTGTGATGTTGCAGGCGGGGGTGCAGCCTCCGGTGCAGGGGTGTGGGAGGCCTTTGGAGGACAGCTAGGCCTGCGGGACTTTGCCCACAGGTGCAGCCCTCCTCGAGTTCAGGTGCATTTCCTGGTGTTGCTAGCAAGTCCCCTGTGCCAAATCCATCATGGCCTCCTTGTCCTCTGAGGCAGGCCCTGCCAGGGCCCCTGCCAGGCGGGCCTGGGTCCCAGCGCCCCAGGGGAGAAGCCAGGCGCTATCCCTGCGCTTCCCCGCGTGGCTGTGGAGCAGGGCCTCGGTGAGGATCTGCAGTGCTGCCCCCCTGCCCTGAGCTCCTGTGGACAGGGGCCGTGCTCCTGGGTGGGCCGTGGCCCTGTCACCTTTTGGTCTGTGGTCTTCAGGAGTCGTGGCCAGGACGTGGGCGCAGGATGGGCAGGGTCCTGCCGCACTGCCCGGGCACCAAGCACTCGGGGTGCAGACCCTCCCTCGGTGGGGCTGGGTTTCTTAACTTGGGGCCACCGGCTTACGGGGCGGACCGTACCACAAACTCTGAGGTTACTGTTTCCAGGCACAGCACCGTGTGGCAGTTGGTAGTGTCACCACATTAAGCGCCTCACTGTTGTCCCGGGTCTGGAGCTGGGTGGGAATTGGCGCGGACCCCATGGGGGCTTGTTCCCTGGGACCATCTGTGTGGTGATAGCCCCACCCCGCCGCCTGCACTGGAGTCGAGCATGAGGGCCTTTGGCTCCTGGGCGCTGCCGGCTCAGCCCCCCCCCCCCTCCCCCCCCCCCCCCCGTTCCTGCTTGGTGCTTCTGCCCCCGGAGAAGGGCAGGAAGGGCGCTGAGTGGCTCCCTCTGAGGGTCACCTGATGAGAAGGAACCCTTATTTGGGGACCAGCGTTGGAGGCTCTGGTGTGGGAGGGAGTGTGTCTTGCTGCACTTAGAGGCCGCTGTCCAGGTCTCCGTGTTGTCCGTGCAGAGATCGACAGGTGTCCCCACTTGGAGACGAGGGGCCCGAGGGGGTGGCCATGGTGGCGGAGGGGCAGGGCCTCACGTGACCTCTGCTCCCCGTGGCCCGGGGCTGCCCCGGGGCTGCTCTGGGTGATCTGAAGCTCGTGGTTCCCCATGGGGTCGGGAGCAGAGGCCGCTGGCAGCCTTGGCTGAGCGGATCTGCCGGGGGAGCGCCCCGCTTGCCACCTGGCCTTTCGGGGAGCCCCTGTCGACAGCCCTGCTTTGCCCAACAAGCCTTTTCATCCCAATCCAGACCCGCAGCTGAGGCTGACTTGGGCTTGTTGCAGGTTGAGATCAGACTGCATGTAGCTCGGGAGCTAAGAATCTGTCTTTCCCTGTACCCACAGCGTTGTGGCTGGGCTGCTGTGTGCATGCTCTCAGCTTGGCCTCCTGTCCTGCAGATGGACGTGTGTCACCAGGGGTGCGACGGCCAGAGTGGCTGCCATTCTTTGCAGCCTGGCACAGCTGGGAATGACTTCACTCTCTTTCCTGCAGGCTGACCTCCCATGTCCAGCGATGGATGAGGACAGCCTGGATGAGCTGGTGGACCAGAGTCTGGGGCCAGATGTCCACCCGGGACTCAGCGCTGCCACCCTGGCCAGTGATGCTGGTGAGCCACTGCCCCTCCTGCCGTGGCCGAGCGCGGGCCCGTGGCCGGCACCTCAGGAGCGGCAGGGTCCCCGCGCTGCACGACGCGGGCCCTCAGAGAGCCGAGCGCCCACGCGGGCCCGTGGCTCAGCTGGAGCGTTGTCCCTACACCAAGGTTGCAGTCCCATCTCCCTTGGATGTTCCTCCCTCTCCCCCTCCTCTCTTTAAAATGATAAGCATGTTCTCGGGTGAGGATCACAAAGACAAGCTGAGTTCCCTTTGGCTGTTGTCTGAGTGATGTCTACGCGACTCTGTTTTTAAATTGCAGAAGTGGCACATTCTCTTGTCTTGTTTTTATAATCTTTTAAAATGACCTTTATTGTTGAGAGTAATGCAGATGTCTTGTCGTATTTTTAACGTAAGCAATACAGATGTAAATAGAGCAAAGGGATTTTGCTTTTCCTACTTTTGTCCTCACCAGCCCCACCTCCCCACCCTGCCAGCAGCAGCTGTCCCCTCCGTCCGCCCCCCCCCCCCCACTATGCCTGCTGCACCCCTCTGTGCACCCGCCCTCCTCCTGCCTCGGGTGTGACTCTGCCCCAGCTTGTGTTTTTCCTGTCTTGGTCTAGAAGAAAGCAGTGATGGTGACAGTGGCGGCTCTGAGGACACGGGCAGTGAGCTCAGCGACGGCACCGATGGAGAGGACGAGGGGGACCTGGAGGATGGATCTGGTGAGCGCGCTGCCTGTGGAGCGGCTTCCTGGGTCTCGCTGGGAGGGCAGCGGGTTCTAAAACGTCCCCAGGGACATTGCTGCTTGACCACACTGGCCGCTGAGGGGTGGGCGAGGCGCTGGGGAGAAACTCCGTGCAGAGCGGGCCTGGTGGGCAGTCCCCTGTGGGGTGTCCTCCATGCCCACGGGGCGACGGCGTACGTCGGTGTGACGCTTCCTTTCGGTTTGGTGACACGATTTGCTAGGCCTGTTCTCTGGTGAGGGCAGGAGATGGAAACGTGCCGGAGCCGGAGCGGCGGGAACCGGAACTGCGGTTTCCAGGGAGACCACGTTCCACGCCTCCCGGCAGAATGAGCAGAGAGCTCGGTGCCCCTTCCAGGCCCCGGGTCTCGGGTGGACGGAGCACGGCCTGGCCCAGGCTCCCGACCAGGTCCTCGCTGCTAGGGGCTCCCGCCTGTGCTCACTCTCATTGTCTTCTTTTAAGATTTTTTATTGACTTTTTTTTTTTTTTTGCGAAAAAGGAAGGGAGGGAGAGAGTGAGAGAGAACTATCGATGTGAGATTATAACGTGGTTTGGCGGCTGCTTCCTGCCTTCCCCCTACCGGGGATCGAGGGTCGAGCCCGCAACTGGAGCATGTGCCCTGACCGGGAATCGAACTAGTGACCTTTTGGTGCATGGGACGACGCCCTCCTCCAGGGTCACGCTTGTTGGCAGAAGTCAGGTCTCGTGCAGGGCTGCAGTCCGGTTTCTGGCTGGCTGTTGGGCACTGTCATCCGCTCCTGGCGGCCACCTTCGGCCGCCCAGCAGGAGTGCCTCGGGCCTCTGCAGTCGGTCAGGGAGAACCGCGGTTGGAAGGCTCGCCTGACGCAGTCCACCCGACCCGGGAACTGCTCTGCCGCAGCAGCAGGGTCATGGGCGGTAGCGTGGTGGGCACCGGTCCTGCCTCACGCAGAGGGATGGGCAGGCGGAGTCCTGGGACCGGCGAGGCGGCCACACCTCTGGTCTGTCCTCTGTGTGCACTTGGGGAGGACAGAAAACTAAACACGGTGACTGTGTGTTCGACCAGAGCGTCCCCTTACGTCTCTGCGGGTGGCGCCCAGCCTCGACCAGAGCGTCCCCTTACGTCTCTGCGGGTGGCGCCCAGCCTCAGCCCCTGACCGGGGCAGCTTTGTGGTCCGCTTAGGACTGGTGCTCTCTGCCCCGAGGGAGGTGGGGCCGCTAAGGGCAGTGTTGTCTGAAGGCAGATGGCTCTTTCCCACTTGCTCTGAGGAGGGGTTGGGAGTGTGGCCGCCGTCGGGGGCGCTGGCCTGGGCAGTGGACCTAGTCATGCCCGGCCCGTGGGGTCTGACTGCTCCGGGGCCGGGGCTGGGGCTGCTGGAGCTGCCCGGCCAGTGCTGTGCCCCTCAGCTTGAGAGCGGCTTGAGGTGAGGAGCCGTCGCCCGCACCCGGCGGGGCCAGCAGGCGGTCTGTCCCTCGGCGCAGGGCGAGAGCCGGGTTCCCCTGCGCGGCGGTAGCTCACGTGTGTCCCTCTCTCTCAAGGTTCCGAAGGTTCCGAAGACGACGACGACGACGACGTGGAAGTGCTGGTGGCAGCAGATCCTCAGGGGAAGCTGGAGGCCAGTGGCACGTGTCACTCCGACGACGAAGCGGAGAGCTGCCCCATTTGTCTCAACACTTTCAGGGACCAGGCTGTGGGGACCCCGGAGAGCTGCGCCCATTACTTCTGCCTGGACTGTATCCTGGAGTGGTCCAAGGTGAGGCGGCTGCTCTCGGGCCTCCTGTCTGAGGGCCTGGCCTGTGCCGGCCTCGTGCTGGGTCTGCTCTGCTCTGCCGCCGGCATGGGCCTTGGGGCTGACTCGCTCCGGTCCTGGCTCCCGCCTGCGCCGCTGGCTCTCGGGTTGTGGGCGACGTGTACTGCAGAGGCGGCAGGAGAGGAGCCTTCCCGGCAGGACAGGGACCATAGGGGCCAGCGGGGCTCAGGTGCGCGGTGCTGTGTGCTGGGGGGGGCGCAGGTGCCGAGGGGGTGTGGGGGTCGGCAGTGCCGAGTCCCGGGGGTCTGCAAGGAGAGGCCCAGAAGCCTGCGTGTCTGAGGACGCCAGAAGCCCTGCTCCTGTGCTTTCCACTCGATTGTGAGGACTTCACAGGCGTGGACTGTGTAGCGATGAGAAGGTGTGGCCGTGCTGACGCGTCTACTGCCTTGCTCTCCTCGTGCTCCCACCCCACCCGTGATGCCACGCCAGCACGGGCACGGCCAGGGACTGTGGCTCAGCGGGGCTGCCGGATGCAGGGCGAACCATGGCTCACATGGGAGCGCACTTAGACGCCAGCCAGAGGAAGGGGCTAGCGCGGCAATTGAGAGCAAGCGGAGGTGGCCCCCTGCGTGGAAAGTCTCCCCAGAGCCGGCGCCCGACACCGCGGTTCCTGGAGAGCACGCGGGGGAGGGGGAGAATCCCTCCTGCGCGCGGCGCTTTGTCATCTGTGGTGGCTGCACTGGACTTCATCCGGGAACGGGCCTGGGCCGTGGAGCTTGGCAGGGCCCGGGGATGAGGACACAGTGGACACAGCGGCCCCTCATGGGCAGAGAGGGGCTCTTCTGTCCGCGCGTGGCGGCAGGGCAGCTCACGCAGGACCTGGCAGGCTCCTGGCCGCCCTGATAAGGCTCCGGACCTCCCGGGAGGGACTTAGGAGTAGACATCGAGCACAGGAGTCGGCGGGGTGCGCGGGACACCACTGCGCACCCCACAAGGCGACAGCCCCGGGCGCACGGCCCCGGAGCCCGCGTGGGTGGGCGGAGCCCAGGGCTCCTCAGGCCGGTGAGGGTGTGACATGTCCTCCCACAGGGAGTGCCCTGGGAGCCAGAGGACCAAGTGCATCCGGCAGACACGTCCGAGGGTGTGCTCAGCAGGGAGAGGGGCTGCGGGCTGCCTGTGGGAGGCTCGGGCAGCTCCGTCCTGTGCTGGCCAGAGGCGCCCAGACCCCAGCGGGCAGGGGGGCTGGTAGCTTGCGGGGGCTGCCCCAGGATGTGGAGATTCACAGGGGTAGGTGCGTTGCGCTGTACACGGTGTATCTAGTCAAGGCGTTTGGTAGGACTCACGTGGAAAACACTGAAGGCAAGAAGATCTTAGCAGCATTTCTGAGGAGGGAGCCCTCTGCGTGTGCTGAGACATGGGAGCAGCTCATGGAACACGGGCACAGGCTTGGAACAGAGAAGGGGGCGCCCGTGGCCAGTCACCTGTCCCCTGCGTGCCTTCTCCCTCAGCTCCCTTCACGCCTGCGAACGGCCGTGTGCACATGCTGGGCTCCCCTTCCTTCCTCTTCTTCGAGGCGGCGGCTCCTGCCTCGCCGCTGTGGCCCAGCAGCTTAGCTCGGCCGCGTGCGGAGGCGGACCGTCTGGCTTTCGGGGTGAAGGCATGTTGCAGGCTCAGCGTGTGCTTTATTTCGAGTGGGACGTTACTAGCGAACGCGATCTGCAGGGTCCTGACACCGCTCCTGTTCCTCACAGAATGCCAATTCCTGTCCAGTCGATCGAACTCTATTTAAACGCATTTGTATTCGAGCCCAGTTTGGTGGAAAAGTCCTGAAGAAGGTGAGTGTCTGCGCTGTGGGGAACCCCCGCCACTTGTGTTCATTGCATGGCCCCTGTCTCATGGGGAAGCTTTCAAAATTGCTTTCCTGAGATGAGTGCGTACTGGCCCCACGCTTCTTAGAAACCCACCCGATTGCCATTTGCAGCCGTGACGGAAGCCGTGGGGGAGGGGGTTGCCCTGTCTGTCGGCCACGTGGGTTCTGGGGGAGGGGCACTGCAGGCGAGGGGGCCGGTTCCCAGGCGCCCTCTTCTCCACAGCGCACCTCCGCCTGCCCGTGGCCACGCAGCCGGGCCTGGAGGAGGCGGTTCTCTTGGGAGCGGGACCAGGTTTCGGCTGGCTTTTCTGCTTTTCAGAGACTGAAAGGGCCTCCGCACCTCTGGTGTCGAGGACGAGCCGTAGAGAGGCTCCTAGAGGCACCTTAGACCCGAACACCAGGGACGGCCGCGCAGCTCTCGCAGCCGTGGACCCGCTGTTTGTTACAAAGTGCACAAAACCGCAGGTGCCGGGGCGTGAGGTGCATATTTCTGCTGAGACCACACCCTTTCTGGGGCTCTGGGGTCGGTGCTGCAGGGGGCAGCCTGGGCCCTGGTGTGGGCAGTTTTCCTGCAGGCACCTCATTCCCTGGCGAGTGCCTCGGTGTGACGGGAGGTGCAGGGGGACAGCCCACCAGACACGCGGCCTGCTTGTCACCTGCGGCTGCTGACACCTGCGGGGGTGTTGCTGGGGGGCTCGCAGGAGAGGCAGGGGCGTGTCCACAGACCTCCCACCAGACAGGGCTCGAATGATGGCAGCTGCGTTTCCACGTCTTTGCTCGATTATGTGACGTTTCCCGAGTGGTTAGTACCTGCTGCCTGAAGGTTGCTTTCCTGTTCTCATGGTTGCCCGGGGCGTGGGGTGGGCTCCCTCCAGCACCAGGGCCCTGCTGCCTCCACTGCTTGCTCTGCGCTGGGCCCTCGCATGGGCACCACTTTGTTTTCGGTTGAATCCGTTTTTTCTTCTTGATAAACTACTTTAAAATGGTCCCAAATCATAAAAACCCCTGGATGCGTATTAGTTCCGAGCCTCTGGGTCGGTCTGCGGGGCACGGGGGAGCCTTCAGCAGCTGAGGGAGCTGCTCCGGGCCGACCACAGACTCAGCCCGCTGGGCAGATGGGTCGGCGCCACTTGCCGTGTGAGCAGCCGCGCCTTCTCCCTCCAGGTCCCCGTGGAGAACGCCAGGGCCGGAGAGGAGGAGGACGACCCCACCTTCTGTGAGGTGTGTGGCCGCAGCGACCGGGAGGACCGCCTGCTACTCTGCGATGGCTGTGACGCTGGGTGAGCGCGGGGCCCGCCTGCTGGCCCGTCCACAGCCAGCATTTCTCACGGAGCTGAGAAGCGGGGGCCCCGGGCCCTGACGCGCAGGGAGACACCTTAGCACCTCGGGCCACGCTGTGGTCTGGGGCGCAGCTGTGCACCTGCTCTCCGGTGCCGGGTGTGGCCGGGCCCGGGTCTGATGGGCCCTGCACTCCTGTAGGTACCACATGGAGTGTTTGGACCCCCCTCTCCAGGAGGTGCCGGTGGACGAGTGGTTCTGTCCGGGATGTGCCAGCCCCGGAGCTGCCACCTCTCCTGCAGGTAATGCCGCCGCTTCCGTGTCCATGCGGCCCAGGGCAGGGGCAGTCAGGCCCGTCCAGCTGGGTGGGCTCTCGGGCGCTGGGCCCAGGCTTCGGCGCTGCCGGTCTGGAGGGCCAGCTGCACAGCGGCCCAGCCTCTCCGTTCCTCCCAGATGCGGATCCCGTGACCGAGGAGGAGGTCTCTCTGCTCTTGGTCGATGTGGTGCCGACCGCCAGCCGGCTGCGGCCTCGTGAGGGGCGGACCCGGGCCATCGCCAGGACACGGCAGAGTGAGCGTGTTCGAGCCACTGTGAACCGGAACCGCATGTCCACTGCCCGGGGCATCCAGGTGGGCACTCTCCCCCCACCCCGGGTCTGGGTGGGCGCCCGGCTTCAGGGCGTTCCTGTGGGAGCATTTCTGGGCGGGCGCCCGGCTTCAGGGCGTTCCTGTGGGAGCATTTCTGGGCGGGGAGGGCGGAGGCGACTGGGGCACTTGGGCCTAGTGCTTTCATCAAACACCGCTGCCACCACCGGCGCCCAGGGAGGGCACCTGCCGCCCGTCCCGGCCCGTGTCCTGGGGGGTGACTCCTCTGCTCCATTTGCTCCTGAGCCTGCCTGGCCCTCCTCATCCTCTGCCCTCGCCCTGAGCCTGCTCCCTTGGAGGCCTCCCCTCTCCCCTGGGCCGGCCCCCCCGGGTCCCTGCCAGCAGGAAGCATCTGTGGTTTGTGGAATCGAGAGGGTGATGCCAGCTGGTGGGGCGGGCCTAGGCTGTGTGTCCCCCACGGCGGCCTGGCCGGGCCTCCCTGGGAAGGTGTGGATGAACCTGGTGCCCACCAACCCCACCTGCGTGCAGCATGTCCCGAGGTACCTGGTGTCTTCTCTGCTTGACGAGACCATCGAAGCCGTTGCCTCTGGTCTGAGCACAGCCGTGTACCAGCGCCCCACCACGCCGCGGGCCCCTGCCAAGCGGAGGAGGAAAGCAAGTAAGCCAGGCGTGGGCTGGCACCGTCCCTGACAGGTTCCCTGGGAGCTGCAGGCCCCACGGGAGCACTCCTGCCAGGCCGGTGTGGGTCCCTCCCCCTCGGTGAGCGCAGGGCAGTGAGCGACTGAACAGTCAGTGCCGTTCCCCACCGTGGGCACCGTGGTAGCCGCTGCTCTGGGACAGGCCTGGCATGTGCGGCCTCTCCGTGGAGCCAGCTGTTGGGCATTGGGCCCTTTGAGTGGGCAGCTGGGAGACGGTCCTCGGTCACACCGATTCTCGAGTTAAAATTCAGCATCATGGGCTCTTGTGTGGTACGTGTGTGTGTCTTTTTTCTGATGTCATAAACCCGGTCACACTCCTGACGTGCTTCTCACTGGCTTCGCCCCCCTGCCCGGAGGACAGTCTCTGAGTGGACGCTCCAGAGATGCCCTCGTCCCTGCGAGCGTCCAGCTGGGACGGGGCGTCGCCTGGTGCGGTGGCAGGCGGCTGTGTGTGGTTGTGCCTCCTTTGCTGTGTTTCGCTTGAGGTTTTGTTTGTTTGTTTGTTTGCTGAAGAAGATCTGGCAGGTGTAGGTCAAACCCGCACTGTGGTCGGGCTGCGGAAAGGGGCCTGGGCTCCGTCGTCCTCCCCGGCTCAGCCCTGGCCTCCCTCGGCAGCCCCAGCACTCGCCCCGCCTGCTCGCAGCATCGCCCTCTTCCCTGTGCGTGGGCGGTGCGCCTGCAGAGGGAGGCTTTTCCCGTCGGGGCCCACCCCCCGCGCTGTGGTGCTGAGAGAACGAGCAGGCGTGCCCGCCCCATGAGCAGCGGCCGTGCGGAGTCTGACTGTGTCACAAAGGCCGCGGGGTCTGCAGTGTCGTCTGTGCGAGCCCACAGCCAGGGCAGGGCTGCTGCTGTGCGGAGAGTGTCCGTGCCCGTGTGGACGTCCCCTGTCCCGGGGTCCTGGTTCTGGTCCGCACTGCCGACCGCGCCGAGCCTGTTCCTGCCCGTGCGCCGGGTAGTTGGGCCCGGGTTCCCGCGCTCGGGGCTGGTCTGCTGGTCTGTGTGCCTGCTGCGGTGTGTGTGTGGGGGTGGCGGTGTCAGAGCTCAGGGCCGTGGACAGGCTGGGGCCATGGGGGGGCTCACCTGCACCAGCTGCACAGCTTGAGGCCCCCCCCCCCGACCTGTGGCCGGGCCTCGGTGCACAGACCTCAGCCCCGTGGCGTTACTCAGCAGCCCTGGGGGTCACAGGGTTCCGCACCATTGTGAGCTCACAGGGGCAGCTGGGGTGCGTGGGGTGTAGCCGTGGGTGCCCAGGGTCGGTCCCGCCATCTTCCTGGCGCCCCTGCTGCCCTGCCGAGGCTCCCGTGCCTCTCGGGTGCGGGGGGCCCTCCTCCCACTGAGCAGCCCTGGCAGCTCCAAGGCGCCGGTCAGGCCTGAACGCGGGCTCAGGGAGGGGCGGGTGGCGTCGGGGAGGTGGCCCGTGCTCTCTTGTCTCTGGTGAGACCCCCAGGGGTGCAGAGCCAGGTCCCTCACCATGGCTCTCGCTGTCGGGTGGTTCTTCTGATGTAACTGGGACGTGGGCGCCGGTTCTCCAAGCCCGGGTCCTGCTGTGCACGGCCGCCCGCCCTCCGCCCGCCCTCCGTGGGCGGCAGAGCCTCTAACCGCAGTTGATTTTCCCATTGAAGACTTCAGCGCGAACGTGGTGGTTCCCCGCGGAGCCTTGGCGGGGGCACCCTTCGGGGACGCCGTGGGCACACGGGAAGCACAGGCCCACGGTGTCCTTTCTGCAGGAAGACGGAGGAAAGCGCTGGGAAGGAAGAAAACCCAGCCCAGACCGGCCGTGAGGAGCAGGAGCTCGGGGACAAGGTCCAAGAGACGCCAGGGCCGTGGGAAGAAGAGGAAAGGACAAAAGCTGAAGGTGGGCCTGCCAGGTCCTCCGAGGGCGTGGTGTCCTGGAACGGCCTCCTGCTGGGAGCCACACCAGCGGCCGCAGAGTGCAGACTGGCGGGCGTCCTGCGGGTGGGCCAGGACACAGGCAGAGCTGCTGGCTCGTCAGGAGGCTCCCTGGCGATCCCTGGTTTTAGGGGCTACTGGGGCGGCTTCGAGGGCAGCACCCACAGGGGTCCTGCGGGCAGGCTGTCCTGTCCTGGCGGAGCCCCAGGTCCACCCTCATTGGCCTGGGACCTGCAGAGGCCGGGTGGTGGGCGTAGGGATGGTGTGGGGCCGGCTGCTCTGGTCTGGCGTGGGCTCAGCCGCTGCTGGTGTGGCCAGCTCGCACCCAGATCCACGTGTCTCACGGCGGTCCTTTCCCTTCAAGGCTGCTCAGAGTGAAGTCACAGCTCGTGGGCGCATCGCGCGGACACTGGGCCTCCGGAGGCCAACCCACGGGGCCTGCATCCCATCCGTGTTCCGGCCTGCGGACCCCTCCCTGGGGCTGATGCGTGCGGACATCGGGGCTGCCTCTCTCTCTGTCTTCGGAGACCCCTATGAGCTGGACCCTTTCGACAGGTGACTGCAGGGGGGCAGTGCCACAGGCACCTCTGCAGAGTTGGGGAGCAGCTGTCATCTCCCTTCTTCCTAGTGTGGCGGTGGGCACGCCACCCCTGTGGGCCAGGGTGAGCCTCAGGCACTGCATGCTCGTCCCGGGCCGAGGAACGTGCCGTGTGGGCAGCACCAGGCTGTCCTGCTGGGCACTGGGCAGGGGCGGAGGGGCCCGTGGGCCTTGGGCCTGGGTCACCGTTTCCTCGGCTGGTGTCCTTCCTCCAGCAGTGAAGAGCCGTCTGCCAGCCCTGCTTCCCCTCTGAGTGCCAAGAGGAGGGTCCTCTCCCGCTCAGCCCTGCGTTCTCACCAGCCCGTGGCCAGGCCCGTCTCCATGGGGCTCTCCAGGTGGGTCTGAGGGCATAGGGCAGCGCTTCCGGCGTGGCAGCCATGCTGCTGGTCTCTAGACCCCAGACTCCCCGTGGCTTCTTGATGGGGAGCGAGGGCATGAGGCCACGGGCAGGCCCGTCAGGAGGGGTGCTGGGTGCTGGGTGGGGAGCCGTCAGCGGGGGGTGCTGGGTGGGGAGCCGTCAGCGGGGGTGCTGGGTGGGGGCCAGGCTGCTGGGCTGCGCCTTGGGCTGGGCCTTTTCTCATATTGGATCTTTTGGGGGGAAGAAACTGAACCCCCATGACGGCAGAGCTGCTCCGCTGTGCTCTGGCCTGTGGTGCACCCGCTGACTTCATCCCGCCCCGTTTTCAGGGGAGCTGCCGGGTGGGTCTCACTCCTGGGGGGGTCCTGGCAGACGGCCTCCACTCAGCCCCACTCCCGGGGTCGGGCAGGGGTCTGAGGGCGGCAGTGGCAGGGCCTGGTCTGCACCTGCAGGAGGAGCGTTCCTGCCGCGGCGCCCGAGCCGGACGTGGACGTGGCCCCTGTCCCCGACCTGCTGGGCAGCATCCTGTCAGGCCAGAGCCTCCTCATGATGGACAGCTCCGACATCACCATCCACCGCGACGGCTCGCTCAGCGCCAAGCGGGCAGGTAAGCCGCCTCGGCGCAAGTGGAGACTCGCTGGGCTTGGGTGGGTGCGCGTGGAGGGCAGGTGCGTTTTCCACGCACAGAGGACGTGAAGGAGGGGCAGCGTCCTCCTGTTTTTCCCTCATGTTCTGAACAGTGTCGACGAGCAGCTAACTTGGGTGGTGACGGAGCCGCAGGCCACAGGCCGCCTTGTGGCCTCTGTTCTCAGCCCTGGAGCCCGCCACGCGGAGCCCTTCGCTGATTTGGGTCTAGCACAGTGATGGCGAACCTTCTGAGCTCGGCGTGTCAGCATTTTGAAAAACCCTAACTTCACTCTGGTGCCATGTCACATAGAGAAATTTTTTGATATTTGCAACCAGAGTAAAACAAAGACTTACATTTTTGATATTTATCTTATGTATTTAAATGCCATTTAACAAAGAAAAATCAACCAAAAAAATGAGTTCGAGTGTCAGAGGTGACACGGTGTCACGGGTTTGCCATCACTGGCCTAGCAGGTCTTGGGGGTGGGGTCCAGTGTGGGGACTGGGCAGCCAGTGATGGCAGCACTGCGGAGGCGGGCAGCCCTCCCCTCCTACCTCCTGCCAAAGGTCTGTCACTGGCTTCGGCAGGTCCTGAACCCACATATCACAAGGGGAGGCAGAAGGGAAGCCCCACAGCAAAGCCTCCAGCTGCCCAGGGCACACCGGTGGTCCCTACGCCCCCCACAGGGCTGTCCCGCCGCAGGGCTGTGCCCCAACCAGCAACAAGTGGGAGGAGCTTGAAACGCACAGCTAGAAGCCGTGTGATAAAGGCTAAGCAAGTCATGGAGCTTGGAAAGGAGGGAGGGCACCTGATGGCCGTCTGCCTTTTTGTCTTTTAGCACCTGTTTCTTTTCAGCGACACTCAGTCGGTCTGTCCCGAGGGGGAGACGGCCCACGGCCCCCAGCACCAAGCTCTGGGCTCCTGGGAGGCCTGGGGTCGTGCAGTCCAGGCAGGCCCACCCCCTCCCACGCCCCTGCGCTCATGTCTGGGGCTGCGGCGAGACTGGACTCTTCAGTGACCCCTCGGTCAGGTCAGGCCCAGAGCCCGTCAAACGTGAACAGTCCTGGCTTCAAACGACGGGAGGACCCACAAGTTAGAAGCCTCAGTGAGCACGCTGGGCCTCTTGGATTCACATCTAAGATCTCAAACGGCGGCCCTGACGTGCCAGCCGCCAGTGCAGTGCCAGGCCAGGCCCCGGGGCCAGCACCGCGGAGAGCGGACATCTCCCAGCTCCCCAGGATACCAAAGATGAGAAGGGACAGCGGCAGTGGGTGGGCGGACACAGCCCCCGCCCCCGCCCCCACCGGTGGGCAGCGAGTGGAGATCCCTAGCTCCTGCATCAGCCGGCTGACAGGCAGGGAGGGCCCGGGGCAGCCTGGCCTCGGGGCCCGGGTGGAGGGCTCGCCACACGGCAGGGGCCCCCAGGAGCCCAGCGTGCACTCAAGGGGCGGCGGTGCTCAGTCCCCTGCCCCGCTGGGACCCTCAAGGGGGAAGGGCGGCAGCTCAACCTTTGAGAGCTTCCGGATCAATATTCCCGGGAACACGGCGCATTCCAGCAGACTCTCCAGCCCCGGCTTCTGCCACACGTTCCAGCCTGTCGACAACAAGGCGCAGAGGAAGGAGAACCCCGCCCCCCTTTTCTCCCTCAGGAAGACGAAGCAGCTCAAGAGCGAGATCTATGACCCGTTCAACCCCACGGGCTCGGACTCCAGCTCTGCAGGCAGCAGCCCCGAGCGCTTGGGCCCCGGCCTCCTGCCCTCGGAGATCACCCGCACCATCTCCATCGGCAGCCCCAAGGCCCCGCCCTCGCAGACCGTGCGGTGTGTCACCTCCTACACCGTGAAAACCGTCTTTGGGGCGGAGCCCGAGCCGTCGCGGGGGCCGCCCTCCAGCCTGCTCCAGCTCCGGGGCGAGGAGCCCGCGGGGCGCCCGGACTCAGCCCCCCGGGTGCGAAGGCCATCCCCACTGGAGCCCTGGGAGGATGAGGATCGGCCGCCCCGCACCACCTTCTTCGGCTCTGAGGAACGGACGGTGACCTGCGTGACGGTGGTGGAGCCGGACGCCCTGCCGACCACCACCCACAGGATCGTGGAGCTGCGGTCTCCGTCCCGCTCCCGCTCCCGCTCCCCGTCCAGCTCCCGCGGCAGAGAGACCGACCAGAGGAAGCAGGCCTCCGCCCCGGGGCACAGGCAGACCCGCTCCCGCACCCGCTCCGGCTCCCGCTCCGGGGACAGGAGCTCCAGGTCCTTGTCACCTCTGGTGGGTGAGGACCAGGCCAAGAGGCCCCTGGCCAAGGCCAGGGCTCGGAGGTCTTCCAGTGACCGCTCCAGCAGCCACGAGCGGGCCAAGCGGAAGAAGGCCAAGGATAAGAGCAGGGAGAGGAAGAGGGACTCGGGCCGAGGCCGGCGGAGGTCCCGCTCCCGCTCCGGCAGCCCTGGGAGCTCCTCCCACGAGCACCGCGAGAGCAGGAGGAAGAAGAAGAGACGGTCCAGGTCTCAGGGGAGGGGGTGCTCTCCCCCCAGCAGCCTGGAGAGGGCCCGGAGGCCCCGCCGTCCCCGGGAGAGGAGCCGCGAGTGGCCCCGAGACCGGCGGGGCTCCCGTGAGAGGCGGCGGCACAGGTCCAGGTCCCCCAGCCCGGAGCACAGGCCCCGAGATCACCGGAGGCCTCGTTCTCGTGAGAAGCGGCCTCGGCCGCGCTCCCGCTCCCGCTCCCCGGAGAGGAAGTTTCCCGTGAAGGAGGCTTCCCCAGCACCCCCTCCCCAGGAGGAGCCGAGGCCGGACAGGGAGAACCCGGTGGGGCTGCAGGCCTCAGCAGGAGCTGAAGCCTGGCCAGAAGGGGCTGAGGCCAACCAGGCCCCCCCGAAGGCTCCCCCTGCCCCGGAGGTGCCGGCTGAGTGTGCCCCCGAGGACCTGGACTACGTGGACTCGGTCGAGGCGGGGCACGTCTTTGACGACTTTTCCAGTGAAGGCATCTTCACGCAGCTCGACGACATGAGCTCCCCGCCCTCCCCGGAGAGCACAGACTCCTCCTCGCCTGAGCGCGGGGTCCCACCCCCCGCCGCTGCACCCCCGGCCGGCCAGCAGCAGGACAACAGCCTGGCTGCCATCAGAAGGGAGGTGTCGCTGATCCACAGTGAGGACACCGAGCAGCCCCCACCCTGGACAAAGGGTCCCCAGGAGAAGGCCTCGTTCCAGCAGGACCAGGCCAAGGCTGCGGTGCCGGGTGCCCTGGGAGGCCCGGCCGGGGGCGGGACGCTGCTGGGCAAGGAGGAAGGCCTCTGCCTGACCTCCGTGCTTCGGGCGAAGGCCCCGGTGAAGAGGGTCACCTGGAACCTGCAGGAGGCGGCAGGTGGCGCTCTGGCTGAGGACCGAGGCCTGCGTGAGTAGGGGCTCCTGTGGCCTCACAGGTGGGCTGGGGCAGCACGGAGGGGGCACAGAGCGGGCACCGTGGGCATCTTCTCCCTGGTGGCTCCTGGGCCTCTGGGGTCACTGGTAGGGAGGTGGTTGCATCCAGCCGGTGTCCTTGGTGCTGGGATGCTTCTCTGGAGTTTTCCAGCGGGAGGTTGCCTTCCGCCCTGGGTGGTCACAGAACACCCACCTCCCCGTGTTGGCCCTCAGGGACCCCACTGCACAGGCCCCAGCAGCCACAGGAAGAGGCGTGGGAACCCGGAGACGGAGGCCTTGTGGTGGACTTCCAGCAGGCACCCTGCCCCGAGCCCCCTCCTGCTTACACGCTTCCAGAGCCTGGCTTTCCCACTGCAGACCCCGCCCAGGTGGGTGTCAGGGCTGCGGGGGGAGGTGACCTTGCCCGTCGGCCGCGGGGGCTGTGCCTGGCTGGGTGCTGCCAGCATCGAAGCTGCGCTCAGCGGACTGTTCTTGCCCAGGTTTATGGCCCCAGCCTGCCTCCCGCCCTGGCTCTGCCCTCAAGTGTCCCGCCCTACGCACCGGTCAGCCAGCCCACGGTGCAGTTCATCCTGCAGGGGAGCCTCCCCCTCGCGGCCTGCGGGGCGGCACCCAGCCTGGCCCCAGTGCCGACCGTCCTGACCACAGCCTCCGAGCCAGCTGGCCACGCTGCCGCCACCAACAATTCCGAGGAGAGGATGGCCACTCCCCGGCCAGCCACAGAGAAAGCCAAGAACGAGGAGGTGAGACCCCTCTCCATCCTCCTGGGACGGGCAGGATGGCGGGAAGCGCTAGGCTCCCCCCAGGGCCCCGCAGGCCTGGGCCCAGCCCTTACCCTGTGCTCGCCCCTAGTATCTGAAGAAGCTGCACGTGCAGGAGCGGGCGGTGGAGGAGGTAAAGCTGGCCATCAAGCCCTTCTACCAGAAGCGCGAGGTGACGAAGGAGGAGTACAAGGACATCCTCCGCAAGGCCGTGCAGAAGGTGGGCGCTGGCGGGCCTTGCCGTCGCGCTGGCACGGCCTCGGGTCTGAGTGGAGGGAGGTGCTCTGGCCCTGGCACCACAAGGGCGCTTGGGAGGAATGAGTGGTGCTAGGGCAGCGGCCTCCTTGCTTGTTAAATAGGCTCAGTCCCAGAGAGCGACACCCTGTGGGCTCCTGGCCATCATGGTGGGACCCTCAGTGGCCCTGGGAGGTGGGTACAGTGGGCCCCCAGGGCCCAGTCCTGGCAACCACTGAATGTGTTTGGCTGTGAAAGGACCTCTGGGTAATTGTGCCCGCCCCCCCCCCCCCCCCCCGCAGATCTGCCACAGCAGGAGCGGAGAGATCAACCCTGTGAAGGTGGGCAACCTGGTGAAGGCCTACGTGGACAAGTACAGGCACATGCGCAGGCACCGCAGGCCCGAGGCCGGAGAGGAGCCCGCTGCCGAGGGCTGAGGCTCGCCTGGCCCCGTGTGCTTTTGCGAGTGACGGCGGCAGAAAGCCCTGGGGACCCCAGCACTGTGTCCAGGTTCCTGAGACCACGTGTGGTCCGTGCCCGCCCTGCGCCGTTTAAACTGGACGTTACGTGTACATTGTAGATACGCCTTCATTGTGTTCTAATTTATCAGAAATGGATTCTCTTTAGAAACTTCTCGTTGACTCGGTACTTGAAAGGGGAACCCTTGACTGAAGCGGGGACCTCGGGCGGGAAGGGCTGCCTGTCTCTTATTTAGGGAACACCGCTTTCTCAGCTGGCAATGTAATACAGATACGGCTCAAGTGTTCGCCCAACTCCGAGGCCGCTCAGGGGGCAGCGTGGCGGACCTAGGGGCTGGGGCTGGGCCTTGGGTACAGCACAGGGGCGGCTGTTGGCCAGTGAGGAAGCCCAGGGAGTGTTCTGGCCTCTGTAACACTAAGTGCGTGCGCGAGGGTCTTCATTGTGCCTGGGTGGCCTGCAGGGACCACCCCCTCCCTGGCCCAACCACCAGCCACCAGGCAGGACACCAGCACCGGCTCATAGCGCTCTTTATTGGGTCAGGGCGGCCCGTGGCGGCCTAGGCTGGCTGCTCCACCTCCATGAAGTAATCCAGGAAGTGCTCCAGGTCCTCATACAGGCTGTTGAAGCTGGACAGGCAGAGGCCCAGGCTGCTGCTGTCCAGGGAGGATGCGCCCTCCCTCTGCACGCGCTCCAGGGACGCCTGGCACAGCCACGGCTCCAGCTGCAGGGAGGATGCAGTCAGCCCGGTCGGGGCTGCGGTGGCGGGGGGGGGGGGGGGGGGGCAGCCTCCCGTGTGGGACCCTGCCCTCACCTTCACCAGGACCAGGTTCCTCTCCTTGGGCCTCCGGGCCGACAGGTCCTGCCCGAAGCCCAGGTAGACGGTGTAGTGTGGGGAGTCCTGGCGCCTGCGGGCCTGGAATTCCATCAGCTCTGCAGGGTGGGGCTTGGTGAGTGGAGGGCCCGGGACAGGAGGGCGGGAAGGACTTTCATCCCAGAGTGGGCGCCACTGACCTCGGAAGAAGGTGCCAAAGTCGAATATGCAGGTGTCACGGTTCCGCTCCAGCAGGCAGGCAGGGGCTGAGGGGCTGTCGGAACCCAGGTGGCTGCCCACCTCCCAGTAGACCTTACATTTGCCCAGGCGCTGGGCCCACAGCCCAGTCCTGCGGAGCTGGAGCCGCAGGCCGGGGGCTACGTGCTGGAGCAGCTTCTCTGTGTAGTGGAGCTGCTTCTGGTCAGGGAGCTGGGTGGGGCAGGGGAAGGCCACCAGCTGGGCCTCCGGGGCCTGCATAGCAAAGCCAGGGGGGCCGTACAGGAGCATGCAGCTGGGGCGCCCGACTGTCTCCTGCAGCACCGTGCGGCCCTTGTACATGATGGTCACGTGCAGGGCCCCCAGGCTGGGCTCTGCGTGCAGGCCGAGCTGTGGGTAGGGGGCCCCTGCCAGTGGGGTGCAGGGCTCCACCTCAGGTGGGGGCTGCCAGGCCTCGGGGGCTGGACCTGCATCTAAGGAAGAAGGCCTGAGCTGGCACCGGCTCCCAGCCCCTCCCTCTTCCACTCGTCCCCTGCCTCCTCACCTGTCATCTGGGCCTGGGGCTGTGACCTGGGTCTGGGGGCCTCCACAGCCCATGAAAGTTCCAGTTGCCCGGTAGGCAGCTCTGGACCTGAGGGCGGCAGGGGGACAGCTGTACTGGCTTCACTGGCTGGCACCATCCGGGTTGGACCGCCCCTCCCCTTCCGCCGTTCAGCAGCCCCTCACCACAGGCTGCCGGAAGGAGTGGGGCCGCGGCCTGAGCCTCCAGCACTTGCTCCAGGCGGCTCTGCTGCAGGGCCTCCAGCAGGAGGTCCTCGGTCACGAGGGGGCTGGGCGCACCGGGCACCGGGCTCCACCTGGCTGGTCCAGGCCCAGGACTCGCCCCAGCATCTCCTGCCAGGCATGGCCCAGGGAGCGCCCCCTGCAGGGGAAGACAGTGCTGGCAGAGCAGCTCACAGCCCAGGAGGTGGCACCCCCCCCCCCTCCCCCCGGAGCCAGGAGGGCAGAGCAGCCTTACCCTGGCGGGTGGGGCATCTTCAAGAGCCTTGCGGTCCCCCTGGCCAGCGCCTGGGCTTCCTGGGGGGGGGGGGGGGGAGCACTGGGACCTGAGACACGGAGCTGGTCCCTGCCCCCTTCCATCAGCCTCCTCAGGACCCCCTCCAACCTGGCACCATCCTCTCCCAGACCAATTCCTAAAACCACAGATCTGACCTCGCCGGGGCTGCCCCTGGACAGAACAAAGTCCCAGCACCGCGCGGACCTCCCTCTGCCCGCGCAGCCTCCCCACGTCCCACCTCCGCACCCCTCCTCGGAGCTGAGCGTGAACACTTTGTGCGGGTCGGTGGGGTCTCCCGAGTTGTCGTGCAGCATCACGAAGCGCTTGGTGCTGCGCAGGGCACAGCGGAAGTTGGTTTTCCAGGCCGCCAGGAGCTGGCCCTCGGGGGCCGGCAGGTCACCTGCGCCTCTGCTGGGCGGCCACCTGCCGCGCGCCAGCGCCCAGGCCTGGGGAGGGAGACCGAGGGTGTGGGCCGGGGGCAACCGGCAGGCCAGCCCGCCAGCCCTCGCACCCTGGGCCGCCTCGGGTCCCACCTTGAAGATGCCGGCATCAGCCTCGCCCAGGTCCTTCCGCGCGAAGTGCTTCCAGGGCACGCGGAAGCGAGTGCGGGCGGCGTCCAGCCACCGCAGCCCCTCGTAGCGGCCGCTGCTGACCTCGCCCAGGAGCCAGTCTGCGAACAGCACGCGCGGGGCCCCCCTGCGGGCGGAGCAGCCGGCGGGTCAGGGCGCGGCCCGTGCGCGGGGTCGGGCGCCGGGGAGGCGGGCCAGGCTCTCACCTCTCGGGGTCAGCGGCCATGGCTCCCGCCGCGAGGGTCTGTGGTCAGGGGTGGCAAGCAGGCGTTCCCACCGGGGAGGGAAGGGCTGCTCGTGGGCGGCCACAGGCGCGTGGCCGGCGTCACAGGTGTGGCCCCGCTGTCACGGGTGCAGGGGTCACAGATGTGGGCGGAGGGCTTATGGCCACGACGGTGCCGCGGTGCGGGTTTCTCGGCAAAGGTGGCCGGGCTGTGAGCGCGGGTGGCGGCGCGCACACGTGCAGTCACAGGAGTTGAGCAGCGTCCGGCCTGGGGTGCGCAGGCTGGACCCTGGAGACGGGCACCGCCGCTGGAGGGACGCGCCGGGAAAGCGAAACCGCGAAGCCCTGCGCCGCTGGGAAACGAAACGAAACGAAACCTAAGCACCCGCGGCCGCGAGGCGGGCGCCCCCGCTCCCGCCGGGCCCGGCCGTCCCCGCCTCCACCTCCAACCGGGAGCTGCCCCTCCGGCTCCACACGGGCAGGGGTCCCGCATACCTGGAACCGGAGCCGCCGGAACGGGAAATTTCATCTCAGCGGAGGGCCGGGAGCCCGCGTTTTTATGCTGGGAAGGTGGGGGGCGGGGCGCGGCGGGGGCGGGGCGGGGGCGGGGGGCGGCGGGGGCGAGGCGGGGGGCGGGGCGCGGCGGGGGCGGCGGGGGGCGGGGCGGGCACCGCGGAGCCTGGGGCGGGCGCCGGCGTCACGTGCGGCGGCCACTGTACCGTGTGGGCAGGGAGGGCGCGGTGTGTACGCGCCGAGCGTGCGGGCCAGACCCCACTCGGGGGTGGAGGTTGCGGAGGGGCGCAGGGGTCCACCCGCCATCCCCCGCCCCGGCCTAGCCACTGCTCCTGGCTCCCGCCACACCGGGTGGCGCCCCACCCGCACCCGAGGCCACGGTCGGGGCCTGAGTGTTTACCGCCCCAGCTGGACCCGCCCACAGGGCACGGGCTGTGCCCCCAAACGCCCCGGTCTGTGCTCTCGAGGGGGCTCCTGAGCCTCCTCCAGGCCAAGAGTCGCCGCGTCGAGTGGAGAGGGGGCTCCCCAGTGCAGGCGTCCTCCTCGGCCTGGTTGCCCCGGGAGCCCCGGGAGGGGAAACTGGCCGCTAGGGGGCCGGGACCCGGGAGGCCCCGCAGCTGCGGGAGGGATCGCCCTGCACGCCCCCCGCGCCCCGCCCCCGCGCCCCGGGGCCCGCCGCCCCCGCGCGCCAACTGGGGCCCAGCCACGGACGCGCCGCCGGGGGTTCGAATGACACTTTATTCCGCGCAGTGCGGGGCGGGGGGGGGGGGCGTGGGCGGCCGCCCCCCGGGGCGCTAGATGTAGGTGGAGTCGGTGCCCGGCGCGTCGGCGCGGGGTCCCCAGCCAGGTCCTGCGTCCGCGCCCTCGTCGTCGCTGCCGTCGCCGCCTTCGCTGCCGGAGTCGCCGGCGCCGTCCGCGTCCGAGACGGGCGCGTTGAGCACCACCACGTCGGCCTCTGCCCCGATGTTCTCGCCGAACCACACGGCCTTGTAGCCGCCCTCGGGCCGCCGCTCCTTGGTCAGGATGGACCTCACGCCCGCCGGCCCGCCCTCGTCCCGGGCGGCGGCGGGGGACTCGGGGGCTCGGCTGGGGGACGGCGAGGCGGGAGGCGCGGGCAACGGGGGCGTGGGCGGCGGGGGCACCGGGGGCTCGGGCGGGACCTCGGCTGGGGTGCCTTCGGGGACGGGGCTGGGGGCCGGCGCCCAGCTGGGCTCGCGGTCGTCGGGGAGGAAGGCCTTGTTGTCGAAGCCGTAGGGCTGGGCCTCCTGGGGAGGAGGCGGGAGCCGCGGCATCAGCAGGGACCCTGGGCCTGGGCGCAGACCCGGTCCCCGCTAGTCCCTCCCGTGTCCTCTGCTCTCCCCCCACCCCCATCCTTGGTCTGCAGCCCGGGGCACAGCCCTGCCCATCTGTTCATCTCCTCTCGACTCTGCGCCCCCCTCGCTGCCCGCCTGCACCTGGCTCACCAGGGCTTTGCTGGAGCAGCACTGGAACCAGGGGCCGTAGTGTTTGTGCAAGAGGATCACCAGGGCCAGGAGCGCCAGGAGCAGCAGGGAGCCCAGCACCCCGCCCAGGACCCCCATCTCCACAGCCGAGAAGCGCTGGTCCTCCGCGTGGCCACCGTCCCCAGTGCCTCCAGCCCCAGTCGAGCCTGCAGGCCACACCACCGCCCCTCTGTCAGCTCAGCCCATCACGTCCCTTACCAATGTGGTCAGGCTCAGACGCCCTGGGACAGGACAGGCCAGCGCCCCGCCCCCCCCAGCTCTCCTGCCCCCAGAGGCTGTGTTCCCAGGGACCCCCCGGGGCCAGGCTGCTGAAGGGAGGGTCCAGGTGGGAGGCGAGGACAGTGCTGGGCCAGTGGGGTGAGCAGCCTGGGAACTGTGGCTTCTGGCCTGCCCCCCCCCCCCACGCACCCGTTTACCTCCCCAGGGCTCCCCCCTTTGGATTTCACAGTCCACATGGCCCTGCTGGTCCAACCTGGGGCGGGGCGGGGCCGGGCAGGCCCTCCAGGGAGTCCCAGGATCACCCAGCCTCATGGTCAGGGAACAAGGGTGACTCCAGGGTCCGAGGGTGCTACTGAGGGTGAGGGGTTCTGCTGGGCCCTGGGCACTTCTGGGAGGTACCTGGCTTTGAGGTCTGTTGTGAGCCCCCACTAGATGTGGCTGATGAGGGGGAAGTGCTGGTTCCCACACTCGAGGGCCCCCCAGGCGTGGTGGACAAGGCAGATGGCTTCAGAGTTGTGCCTGAGGAGGGATGTGGGCCCATGCTCCCCCCAGAGCTGGTCGTGGAGGGTCCCTGAGAAGGTTTGGGGGGCCTGGGGGCTTCGGGAGTAGAGGTGCTTAAGGGGGGATGTGGGCCCATGCTCCCCCCAGAGCTGGTTGTGGAGGGTCCCTGAGAAGGTTTGGGGGGTTCCGGAGTAGAGGTGCCTGAGGGGGGGTGCGGGCCTGTGCTCCCCCCAGAGCTGGTCGTGGAGGGTCCCTGAGAAGGTTTGGGGGGTCCCGGAGTAGAGGTGCCTGAGGGGGGGTGCGGGCCCATGCTCCCCCCAGAGCTGGTCGTGGAGGGTCCCTGAGAAGGTTTGGGGGGTTCCGGAGTAGAGGTGCCTGAGGGGGGGTGCGGGCCTGTGCTCCCCCCAGAGCTGGTCGTGGAGGGTCCCTGAGAAGGCTCGGGGGGCCTGGGGGCTTCCGAAGTGGAGCTGCTTGAGGGCCGGGTTGTTCTTCCAGTCTCTGGGGGTGTTGGGGAACCTGGGGGGCCTGGGGGCCGGGGACACAGCTCCGCTTGCCTCTGTCCCCAGCAGGCCCCAGCAAGATCCCTCCCTGAGGTGACCAGGCCGAGACTCACCTGTGGGGGGCGGCTCCTGCTCGGAGACCTGGATCTCCGCCACTGTGGTCGCTGTGCCCGCTGTCACCGTGTTCTTGGCCTGCACCTAGGGACGGGAGGGGGCTTGTCCCTCTGGGGTCCCCCCTGGGCCCCGCCCCTCAGGTGCTGCGGCTCCTCACCTCCGCATAGAAGACGCCGGCCTGCCCCAGCGGGGCGGCCGTCAGCACCGCCTCCCCGTCCATCCGGAAGTCGGAGTTGTTGGTGATTTCATAGGTTATGGCCGAGTTGAGGTCCTGGACACGGCCCCAGTGAGCGCTGGGCCCAGGCTGCCCCCATGGCCCCCACCCACCCCCAGAGGGGAGGCCAGGCCCACCCAGGGACCGGGCGGCACCTACTGGGAACTCGGGGTCCTGGGCCTGGATCCTCAGGGGCTGGGAGGGGTCCGCTGCATCCTTGACCGCCACGCCCACACCAGAGCCCAGAGCCACGGCGCCGCGATACAGGCTCTGCGGGAACCGGGGCAAGCTCCCCGCGGCGTCCCGGGCCTCTATGGTGACCTGGGTCACTGAGTACCGGGCCCGGTCCTCCTGCTCACCCTGGGGTGGGGGCGGCAGCAGTGACCAGTGAGTCCTTGCAGGGCGAGTCCTGCCCCCTGGGGCTCAGGGAGGGGCCTGGAGACCGGGCCAGGGCACCCACCTTGACCAGCAAGAGGAAGGTCTTGGGACTGGGGACGCTCCTGGCCATGGTGAGGTTGCCCGAGTCGGCGTTGATGACAAAAGTGCCATCCTCGTTTCCTGGGGGGATGCAGGTGGGTTGGGCCGGCCCCCTCCAGTGGCCTGCGGTCCAGGGTCCCAGCTGGCTCTGCCCACGTGGGGGTGGGTCTGGGTCGGGTGCTTAGTGGAGAGACGCGGGGGCCTGGCTCACTCACCCCTCAGGATGCTGTAGATGATCCGCTGGTTGATGCCCCGATCCCCGTCCACGGCATAGATGGGCCCAGGTCGCAGGGTGAGAGGGGCTGGCTGTGGGGACGGCGGGAGGAGAGTCCCTGGGCTGGTGTGAAGCCTCCAGCTCGGCCCTTCCCCTCCCCTCACAGTGCCTGGAACATTCCGCCCTTCCACGCCCCGGGAGGGGCCTGCCGTCCGCAGGATGACCCACGACACCCTCATGGACCCGTTGGTAATGAGTCATCTTCCCAAAGACATGGGATTGGCCTGAGCGGTGGGTGTCTCAGAGGGTGGCACCCCTGGGGACGGGCAGCTCGAGGGGAGGTTCTAGACCCCCTCAGGTGCCTCTGTGCACCCCTCGGGGCAGGAGCGGGGACAGGCAGCCCCTCAGGGCCCACCAGTCCCCCGCCATTGGGTCTGGCTCTGCCCCAGGACAGCTGGGCCCTGTCCACTTCATTCTCATTTCAGAGGCGTTGGCTCACCACTCCCGGGCAGAGGGTTAGACATGATTGGTTTACAAAACAATGCTCACAGCTGTTAAAAAATCACGACTCAATTTGGGCCCAGGGCACCCAGCCCACACGCCCCCCCCTCCAGTACCAGTTTGTGGCCTGTGGGGATGGCCCCCTGGTACTGGGCTTGGACGCAGATGAGAAGGTCTGAGTAGAGGCAGGGCAGGAACCAGGGCGGCCGCCGGTCCGCGGGCTGCACCTCCAGGACCAGGGTGGCCGTGGCGCTGTGGCTGGGCACAGCGCTCTCGTCCTGGGTGTCCTGCGACCGAGCCCCACAGTCAGCCTGGAGCCGGGCTGGGGCGGGTCGGTGGGGCCAGGAGGGACCGACCCACCGGGGGCAGGGCCTGCTCACCCGCACACGCAGCCGCAGGGTCATGTTCTGACTCCTGTCGAAGTCCAGGGGCTGGGCCAGCCGCAGGGCAGGGAAGTTTGTGCCCACGAGGGAGAAGACGCTCCCAGCACCCTGAGGGGGGCAGAGCTGAGACCCTGGGAGGCTGGGGAGGGGGGGGCAGGGGCGCCTGGGAAGGAGGGAGCAGGGGAGGGAGGGGTGCTGACCGGCGTCACTTCCTGGAGGGTATAGAACAAGATGTCACTTTTGTCAAGGTCCGTGGCCGCCAGCTCCTCTTGGGGGATGACGATGGTGTTCACTTTCGTGTCCTGGGGGACAGAGAGGGGTTGGTCTGGCCACGCCTGTGACCCCTGGGGACCCATCCCCAGGCCAAGGCCCCCACTAGCCCCCTCCCTGCCTCACACTCACCTCGGGCACCTTCTTCGTTTTGACCTTGAAGGGGAACACAGGAGGGTTGTCGTTGACGTCCAGCACGGTCACAAAGACCTTCAGCTGGCTCACCTGGTGGACAGGCGGTGGTCAGCGCCCCTTCTTCCCCCGCATGCAAGTGGCCCTGCTCTCCGGGCGCGGAGACGTCACAAGACAGCTCTGCTCCGCAGGGCCCAGACCCCCCCCCCCCAACTTGTGAAACACTGTGGGTGCCAGTGCCCTGGGGAGAAATAACGCAGGGGAGGGGGGCGCAGCCAGCCAAATCCCGAGAGGACAAGGCAGGACAGTTCCTCCCGTTGTGAATCAGAGAGAGAGCTCGGGGAGCCGGGCGCGGGGAGCCTGGCGCTTGAAGGGGCTGCATGAGCAGCCTGGGGCCTAGAGACGCCCTGTGACCACGGCAGCGAGCGTCTCGGGCCCGTGTGCTGAGCGCCGGCCCTTGTGGGTGTTATGCCAAGAAGAGGCGCCCTTATGTTTTAGAGGAGACACCCTGAGCTCTGCACAGGTGGGCGCTGTGAGGTGGGTGGGGTGCGGCTCGCAGCTGAGCTGCAGGTGCGTGGAGCTCCCCGGCCATCTCCACTGTGTCTGCGTGTTTTCGGTCCCCTCCACTGAAGGGTCAGGAGTTGTGGGGGGCGGGCGCTCTCGGTGGTGGGGTTTGTGAGTCTGCAGCTCGGGGACAGTCTGGCTGGAGGACGTGTGGGCGTTGCCAGCACAGGTGACGCTTGACAACAGGCCACTGGGTGAGGTCCCTGGAGAGGGCCCGAGCTGGGAGCACTCTGAAGTCCCAGGGGAGGGGCGGACATGGGCGCTGGCCCGGGAGGGGGGCACTCACCACAGTGTCGCCTCTCCTGCACTCCAGGTCTGCGAGCAGCATCGTTCTGTCCTGTGGGCCGAGTGTGTCAGGAACCACCTGCCCAGCCGGGCGCAGCACCACCCCATCCACAGAGGGGAGACCGAGGCCGAGGGGCAGGTGCTCGCCCATAGTCCAGGGGCCCAGGCAGCTTTGTCCCCCAAGGGCCCGGGTCCCCCGGCCCCGGCCTGCCCTCAACCAAGAGGGGCCAGTCACTGCCTGTGGGCAGAGCCCTGCTCCACAAGGGCCACCGGGCCCAACAGCGCACCTCATAGTCCGGCGTCACATTGAGAAACAGCTGGTTCCCCTGGATCCGAAATGCGTGGGGGGTGGACAAGGGCCCGAGGGTCACCTGCTGGCCCTGGGGGACCTGGATGTCTACCAGGGGCCCACTGAGCACCGTGTTCTCCTCGATTTGAAAGAGGGTCTGGTTCACAGAGCAGCCTGGGGAGTGGGAGCGGGAGGGTCAGCGCCGCCCACTGCCCAGCCCACCGCCCAGTCCTCCTGCCACCGCCGCCGCTGCGGCCACCCGCCCCGCCAAGCCCTCCCGCCCACTGCCCAGCCCTCCCGCCCACCGCCCAGCCCTCCTGCCGGCCAAGCCCACCCTGAGCCTGGGCCAGGGCCAGGAGCAGAGCCAGCAGCAGGGCCCAAGCCCCCATCTCGGGCGGAGGGGGTCGGGTCGGGCCCGGCGTCCAGGGCCCTCCGAGCTGTGCTGGCGCTGGTGCCGGTGCCGGTGCAGTCTCTGCCCACGACCTTCGCCCCTGCGGGCACCGCCCCACTTTATGGCCTTTCCGGGGACTGGCCTCCACCAAGGGGGCTCCCGCCGGCCGAGCGCCAGGCCTGGTGGTTGCTGGGCAGGAGCCAGGTCACATGCAGGGGCTCAACCCACAAGATGTGAGGCGGAAAGGAGCCAGGGGGTTCTCTGGGCACCGGGTGGGGGTGGGGGAGGGGGGATGGTCGCGGGGGGGGGGGGGGGGAGCGGGGGAGTCACAAGGACAGGGGGTTGCGGGGGGCGGGGGAGAAGACTGGGAAGGGGCTGGCCTTTGGCTTCTGAGTTTGCTGTACCTGCTCCCTCTGCTGGGCTCTTGTGCCAGAGCCATCTCGGGGCAAAGACCCTAAGGCAGCCCCACGTGGTGGGGACCCCAGCTTCTCCTCTGGGACACCCCCCCCCCCCCCGTCCCCACACCTCCCATCTCAGTCTGTGAGGAGAGGCTGTGGGTGTCCTGGGGACAGGCCTGCCAGCCCCAGCACCCAGCCGCGCCCTCAGGTGGAGCTGGAGGGCCGCAGTCCTGGGGAAGACGGTGCTTCAGGGGTCCTGGGTCCCCACGGTGCCCACCAGCAGGCGACTCTGGAGAGGTTCCTTGGCCCAGGCCTCCAACTGCCCTGCCCTCGCCTTCCCTTGGACCCCAACCCCACATCCAGGGAGAGGCCTCGGGGGTCAGGAGGCAGGAGGGGCCCTGCTGGCTCCCGCAGCGACCGCAGCTCCTGTGCGGGTGCCTGTGTGGCCTCCTGCACCCCGGCACCCCTTGGGGTGTCAGCACTGTCCCTGCTCCACAGTCTGGGCTGGTCAAGCCCCTCGCCCAGGACCACACACCTGGACAAGAGCCCAGACTCCTGGCCCCTTGTGACGCCCCCTTCCCCACCTGTCACCTCTTCCAGCCCATCCTGAGCCCCCCCAAACTCAGCCCCCCAGATGCCCCTGAATGTTTGCTGAATGGATGACAAGGGGTGCGGGGAGCGGGGGGTGCTGGGGAGCTCAGTCAATGGAACAGGAGGTGGCACCGATGCCAGAGATAAGGAACCGGGAAGGTGAGGCCCCGGTGGCTGCCCAGGTTTAAAGGGCAGTGGGCGTGGCCTCAGCGCTGACTCCGCGATGCGCCGCCCCCCCCAGCTCCGCCCCCGGCTGCCCCCACGGCGCCGCGCACACAGGGGCTCACAGGCCGGGCTGAATTCCTCCTTTATTGGTGCCAAGTGCCAGCCACCTCCCCCTGCACCCCTCCCGCGTCCGGGCGCCCTGGTCCAGGCGGGGAGGAGGGGGGTTCCTCCGTCGTCACAGCCGCTTCTGGGTCTCCGCAGGGTTCACCGGGCCGGAAGCCAGGACTGCAGACTTCGGTCCAGGAGGCAGCCTGGGGGACCAGGCCTGGTCCAGGGGGGCCCTCAGGGGCGTCCTGCCGCCACAGTCGGGTTAGGGGCGGGGCTTGGAGCTGGAGACCCCGCCCACCTGGTGAACTGGCTCAGTCTCACTCCCAGACCCCTGGCCCGCCGGCTGTCCGAGGCGCCCCTGACCCTGGGGGCCCGCCCTGACCCCGGGGGCGCGCCCTGACCCTGGGGGCCCCAGCGGACCAGGGGACGGGCCCGGGGGCGGGGCTTCCAGGCGGAGGCCTGGCCGCGCTCACCAGGTCTGCAGGGCGGGCGAGCTGGACCACAGCAGGCAGAAGGGTCCCTCCGCAGACTTGGTCCAGGACGTGCTGTTCTCGGTGTCCTGCTCGCTGCCCCCAGCCCCAAATCAGAATCAGTCCTGGGTTGGCCTGAGACTGCGCAGGTGAGGCGCGCCCCCAGCGGGCCCGCCCCCCTCAGGGGTCCCCGCTCCCAGGTGCAGCCCAGCCTCACCTGCGCTTCCCGACCAGGCCCTGGAGCAGCCGCTGCAGCCGCGCGCTCTCCCGCAGGCGGCTGAGCTCGCTGGTGAACGTCCCGTCCGAGTGCCGGGGGGCCCTGGGGAGGGCGCGGGGCGCGGGAGGGTGAGGGCCGGGCCGGCAGGGCGGACGCGGGGCTGGGGCGGGGCACACAGCGGGGCGGGGGCCGAGGAGCGCGCGGCTCACCTGGGGGGCGCGGGGCGCGCGGCGGAGCCCCCGAGCAGCGGCAGCAGCGGCAGCAGCAGCAGCAGCAGGGCCCGGGGGGCCATGGTGGGCGCGGCCGGCGAGCTGAGCGCGGCTGCCCGGCCTGAGCCCGCGCGGCCCTTATAGCGGGTCCCGCGAGGGGCGGGCGGGGGGCCGCAGCACCGCCCCGGCTCCGCTCAGCCCCGGTCACGCCCCATCGATCCGCGGGGAAGGTCAGGGCCGCCCCCCCATCTGTCGCCCCGGCTGGCGGCCCGTCCCCAGGTCCCGCCGCCTCGGCGCCCCTGGGCGGGCTTGGGGGGAAGTCAGCCCCGCGGGGGCCGGGTGGGGGCGGGGTGACGGGCTGGCTGTGCTGAGCGTCCGCACCTGGGCGCCCAGGGCCTGGGAGATGGGCTCGGGCGGGTCTGGGCCGGGAGGAAAGGCTGGGCGAGCTGGTCGCGGGGCCCCTGGAGAGGTCCCGGCCGGCGAGGCGGCGCGGGGCCAGCGGAGCTCGGGGAGGGGGGGCACCTGTGACCTCACTGCCACTCACTGCGGCGCAGGGGCGGGCGGAGACCCGAGCCCGGGTGCCTCGCCATTGCTAGTATTTTTCCGGGCAGCAGAGACGTGAGCCTGAGTCAGGGGCGATCAGGGGTGGGGCCGCCGCAGGAGGTGGGGAGGCAGCTGGGATCGATAGGGGATTAAGTTGGGCTTTTTAACAGCCGGTCCGGACGCCTGAAATCCGTAACCATCAATCGCACGTCTAGGAAACGAGTCATAAACCGATCCTGGCGCGGAACCTCGGTGCGTTTAAGGGGCAGTGAGCAGCCGGCCCTCCCGGGGCCGTTCTGGGCTCAGCCCAGCTCCAGCCCCTCCGGCCGCCGGGCTGCGCGGGAGCCCATTCGGATACATCACTTACAACGGAGGCCACCGCTGAGTGGGGCCGCTCGCAGTGTTGGCCTTCTGTGGTTTGGACAAATGTGAAGTGACCCGTGTCCGCCGTCCCAGGCTCATTCGGAGCAGTTTCCCGCCCCCTGGCTCTCCTGCTGCACCTGTGTCCCCCCCCCCCCCCTGCATCCCGGCACCAGGGGTCCCGCTGTCCCCACAGCTCGGCCTTTTCCAGTCCCAGAGTTGGAACCACACAGTGTAGCCTCCGCCGGCCGCTTCTGGCCTTGACCGTCCCTCCCTGCCTGGTCGGAGCGGCCGCTCATGTCTCCGAACGTTCGGAGCGCTATTCCTCGCCCACGGGCGGCCTCTTTACCCATCGCCCCGGAAGGCCATCGCGGTTGCTCCAGGCCTTGGCGGTGATGATGACGCGGCTGTCCGCACCATGTGCAGGCTGTTTGTGGGCATGACTTTTCAGCTCCTTTGGGTAAATACCAAGGAGCACAATTGCTGGGTCTGACGGCGAGAAACCACCGCCTGCCTGGCCAGGCGTCTGCACATCTGCGTCCCCAGCACAGAGCCCTCCCGCTGCCCTGCGCCCGCCCCGCACGGGGGGGGGGGGGGGGGGGGGGGGGTTTGCTGTCACAGAGGGTTCTGTCACTGGCTCTCGCCCACTGTCCCTGCTGCTTAGATTTTCCTGGGTCCTCACCAGAAAATATATTTTCCATTGATTTTTTTTTAGAGAGAGAGTGGAAGGGAGGGAGGTGAGAAAGAGAGAGAGAAATGTGGATGTGAGAGAGATACATCAATTGGTTGCCTCCCACACTTGCCCCGACCAGGGCTGGGGATTGAACCTGCAGCCCAGGTACGTGCCCTGACCGGGAACTGAACCAGCGACCCTTTGGTGCCTGGAGGACGCCCGAACAGCTGAGCCACACCAGCCAGGCCGTGGATCTCTGCTCTTTCCTGCCTGCCTGGCACCTGCAGGCTGTTGAATGGGGGTGGGGAGCGGGCGTCCGTGTCTTGTTCCTCATCCTAGAGGGGGAAGTTGTCCTTTCTCAGGTCAGCTGGGCGGTTCTCAGGGGAGGCCTCCATCGCGTTGAGGACGTTGCCCTCTACCCTCGCCTACTGAGTCTTTGGGTTACGAGAGTGGCTGGGTTTTGTCAGATGCGTTTCTGCTCCCACTGAGATGATTAGGTGCGCGCGCCCCCCCCCACCCCACCCCCCCAATGCGCTGCAGGACGACGTCGATTGAGTTCTGTTTGCTGACTCGGCCTTGGGATCCGGCCGTAAATCTCCGCTTGGGATCACACATTCAGAAAGGCTGCCGATTCAGTTGCTCCTTTTGTCCTGAGTTTCGTGAGCGGGGTCACAGGCAACACCGATGCGGCGTTCTCCTTCTTGTGATGCCCTCTCTCTTGAGTTCCGAGAGTTTCGTAGACAAGTCGTTTGCTGATATTTTCTTCCATTCTGTGGCTGGAAGGGTTACAGTTAATGAAGTCCAGTTTACCTGTTTTTGCTTATGTTTAGGTCTGTCACACCTACAATCTCTTTGCCTCAGTCCTGGTCACAAAGATGTTCTCCCGGCCTTTCTTCCAAAAATTGTATAGTTTTAGGTTTATATTTAAGCCTATGATTCATCTTGAGTTCGTTTTTAAATAAAGCGTGAGGTTGGTATCAGGGTTTTGTTGGTTTTCTATTGCAATTGGAAATTAACAACATAGTCCCAAGTCATCCACGGCCACGGACGAAGCTTCGGGGAGGTCGGCTGGACTTTGACCCGAGCGTAACTGAAAGCACAAACACAGGTGAGCCGCACCGTAGAGGGAATCTGCAGCGTTGCATGCTCAGGGTAGAAAAGAAAAACGACGGCCTTTTAAGAAACTAGGAAAAAGGACGCTAAGTACAAAGCCAGCAGAAGGAGGGAAATGACAAAGGTAAGAGTAGACATCAATGAAACTGAAAACAAACACACAAAAAACATAGGGGGAAAATCAATGAAACCAAAAGCTGTTTCTTTGAAAAGATCAATAAGATGGATAAACCTCTGACAAGACTGACCAAGGGAAAAAAAGGAAAGATACGACTTACAGGTATGCGGGTGGGAGAGGTGTTGTCACAGGCGTGGGAACATCGTGGGCCCACTAGGCGGAAATCGCTCCTCGGCCACAGGCTACTCCACTCGGAAGGAGCCTGAGCAGTCGGTCCGGCGTGTGCTGGAGAAGCTACTTCCCGGCGAATCCTGTCCACAAGCCCTGGCTCGTGGGGCTCAATGGTTGGAGCTTCGGCCTACGGACCGGTGCACCGAAGGGTCCCGGGTTCGATCCCAGGCCCAGGGCACATACCTGAGCGGCAGGTTCGATCCACCAGGTGCAGGAGGCGGCCAGTCATTGATGTTTCTCTCTCTTTCGCTCCCTTCCCTCCCTCTCCTCCACTCTCTCACAATCAGCGAGGATTAACAATAACAACAACAAAATTCTGTCCAACGAAGAAAACTCCTGGCCCCATGCCTTCCGCGGGAAGGGTCGGTATCAGTCTCATGCAATCTATCGCACAACGTGAGGGGCAGGGAGCCCTCCCCACGGGGCCTTGAAGCCAGCACTCCTGTGGCACCGGACCCAGAGGGCCCTTCGCCGCCCCCTACGGACAGGGCTCCCTGCCTGGTGTCACCGACTTAGGGCGTCCAGTGAGCCTTCTCCTGGGGACACTTTCCCGCGGCTCTTTCTGTGCCCGGCGCTCATCTGAGAGGACAGACAGTCCCGCTGACGGGGGGGGAGCCGTGCACCAGGGCCTCCCCCGCCCTCCCGGCCCCGCCCCCCCATGGTGTTGGCAGGTGGGGTGATGGGCCCAGTGAGTTGGAGGCCTGGCGGGTGCAGGGTGAGGGGAGCTCACTGGGGCTATTCTTTTCTCCGCCGCAGGCATCGCTATGCACCCCGAGTGCTCATCCCCTCCCTCCCCCCTTCTTCTCTCACCTAAGATGGGAGGTCAGCGCCGGTTCCCAGGTCCCAGGTCCCGGGCTGAGGGGGGCGCACACGGGCTCCAGGTCACAGGCCCCAAGGTGATAGAGCGGGTTTGGGGCTGACCACTTGGCTGCCCGCCTGGAGGCTGGAGGGTCAGGCAGTGGCGGGGGGTGGTGGGATGGAGGTGTTGGGGGAGGGGTCCCGGGTACCAGACGAAAGGCTGCTTCCTGCAATGGGTGCAGGGCCTGGGCTGGAGGCCGTTATTGTGGGGGACGTGCCAGGGCACGCGGGGGTGGGGTCGGAGGGGTGCGGAGGGAGGGTGAGGGTGGACCTCGGGCCTCAAGCACCCAGGATCCTCCGGGACCCAAGGGGGCGGAGCCTGAGCGCCCAAGCCAGCGGGTGGAGTCTCCGCGCGGGGGGAGCCTGAGAAGTAGGTCCTCCCACGCCTCGTGAACCGGCCCCACCAACGCCTCCAGGGGCCTCCACGAGTGTCCGTGGGAAGTGGAGCTCAGCTTGGGCACTGGGGACCCGGGGACCCCCGCGGCCGGTGGAACGGCGCGGGCGTGGGTGCTAGCGCGCCTCGGGGTGTGGTTCGGCCGACCTTCCATCTCCGTGGGTTTCCTGGAGCCCAGACCCGCGCGCCACACCCGCCCCTGACCCGTCCCGCGCGTGCCCATCACCTCGCTCAGCTTGCGTCCCATTGGCCATTGCGTGGCCCACCTACCCGCCCCCGACGTGGCAAACACATGTGCACCGGGGCGCCAGCCCGGGGGACCCTGCGGACGGGGCGGGGGGGGGGGGGGGGGCGTGCCGGTGGGCGGCGCTCCCGGGTCGCGACCTGGGCGCTGTCCGCGGTGCTGAGCGCCGGCGGGGGCTCCCGGGGCTCCCGGGCCGGGCGCCATGGGGAACCGCAGCGCCGCAGAAGCCGACGGGCTGCTCGGGGGGCGGGGAGCGGGCGGCGGCGCGGGGGCGGCGGCGGCGCTGGTGGGGGGCGTGCTGCTCATCGGCGCGGTGCTCGCGGGGAACTCGCTCGTGTGCGTGAGCGTGGCGGCCGAGCGCGCCCTGCAGACGCCCACCAACTACTTCATCGTGAGCCTGGCGGCCGCGGACCTGCTGCTCGCCCTGCTCGTGCTGCCGCTGTTCGTCTACTCCGAGGTGAGCGCGGAGCCCACGCGCGGCGCCCCCTCCCGCTCCTTCGTGCCCTGTCCCCGCCACGCGACGACCCAGCGTGACCCTGCCTCTTGCCTTCCCAGGAGCCCTTCCTGTCTTAGCGTTTGTTACCACCCAAG